ATTTATTCATTGTTTGTATTTATTTACTTACTTACTTTCTTGATTTCCCATCTGCTTTTAGAACTATTGGTCTCTTATCAGACGAGAGATTTAGCCAGATTTAAGTGTATGTTTAGTATTTTCTAAAACATCATGGCGGATTGACTTCTATTTTTGATGCTAATTCGCTTAACGATTTAGTGGTAGAATGTGACGCATGAACAAAAGCGAAATGAACACATAGTGAATATAGGAAACACTATTACCCCTGATCCTTAGTATATCGACCCGTGTTGATTACACACACTAGGACTTATTATAAGGAGTTATAATTTTTTATTACAAGAAATACGAGCCGAGATCCACTGGAAATCTGATACACAGATAAGCTTGTTACGTATGTGATATGTTTGACCAGAGTTCGAGGGAATTAAATACTTAAATCGGTTAAAATGGTTACTCAATAGCGAGGTTAAAGGTCGGGTTTAAATTGGTTTCAAATGATTGTCAATTTAACATAAGTTGTACCTAATAACTTTTAACAAGACCAGTTGGACGTTTATAATTGGTGGATATTAAACCTGTTTATCTGGTTTTCCAGTTGTTTCACATTAAATAGTATGTATATATGACAAGTTCAGGCCGGGTATAGCTACATACACAACATATATATATATAAAGTTTTCAGGTTTTATATAAGAAATTTCGATACGGTACGGAGTACAGACTACATAACTATTCGGAAAGTTACACACAAATATGCCGAGAGAAGATTTTTAGTGGAACAAATTACTGAGATCTCGCGATAAATATCGCATTGTCACTGGACTGATGGAAATGTTGGGGACTATTGTATATAACCCATTGTGTCATCGTGTATGGTTAATTTCTGAATCAGGAATATAGCTAATGAGGAAGGAAATCTGGACTGTACAGATAATGTGTATGTATCATGGTGACTTACGTAAAGGTAGGGATTAAACTCAACTTTACTAAGTTAATATCACCACGTACGTCTTCATCATCCCAGAGTGGCCTCGATTTCAAAACTAAATGTATGGATCGTCATGGATTGGGTATAGTTACAAAACAGCCATTCCTTGTCAATTAAACACTATCCTGACTTTGATGATAGAACTATTTCAGTGAAGGAACATAAACTAATCCAAGGTGGATGTATTGTGAAGAATAGGTCAGAACCACGAATGAATCACCGGAAATGTTGAAAAAAAAAATCAAAGATCAATCTTCAGACATGGATACAATGTCGGCCATGTTCTCACTTTTTGAGATTATGAATATTTGTGTCAGTTGTGTACCGTTGAATTTCGTAAGTTCTTATCTCACTTTTTTTCTGTAAACATCTTTACCAAGTAATATTTATTTGTTTATTATTATTAAGGGTACTTATGAATATCATAGCTGCTGTGAGGTTTGTAATAATAAAACTATATTGTTTTGTCTCGGTATTTTGAGTTGGAGCACCAAAACAAACGTATGCCAGTTTCTCTTTCAATCTCACTTATATTTATCTTCTAGATCAGGTTGATAGTTCCTTAATGATCACGAAGTGAACCCTTTCCTGAACACCGTGATTCAATATTGCAGGTTCACAACATAGCGCTTACTAACAGCATAACAGTAATGATTTCCATACTTCCGGATTGTAACAGTATAACAGTAATGATTTTCCGTACTTCCGGTTGTATGATAGAAAACTGAGGTAGATATTTTTAATGGCTTTTAGACAGGGAGGACATGAATTATCTGTTTTGGAACATATGTCTGATCTCATTTATTTGTCAACATAAAAATAAATTGAAAGTAAGAATTAAACCCGTTAATTATGTTTTGATGTTTATGGAACGTGCGCCTTTAACGTACAAACATCTGCTAGTGAACAAATTTAAGGTGAAAGCTCTATCTTATCTTTATTTTTTAATACAAGAAGCCACTTCAGTGAAAACAAACCAAGGTCTTAAGATATAAATAGTATCAAGACCCTCGATCATCGTCCTCTGACGTACATTGTACAAACGAATCAGGAATATATTTAGCTATTGAAATTAACATTGTAAATATAACATCGATCACTTACATATTTATATATCGTTGTTCTCAAATAAGTTTCCATTACAGAAGTTTTATATCACAAGATCTTTAAGCATGACGTTGTTTTCTATCGTAATCCAACATCTCAGAAGAAAATGTATATACAGATGTATATCTTTTGGGAATGTATTAGCATAGTTTAGCATGTTAAAGAAGCACTTGCCATTGACTCAGTATAGTAGTTACGCTGTTGTTTACCTTGTTCTCATTTTGAGAACGTGACATGGCATTGATCAAGGTTTACATGGCGGGTGTCGTCTATGAAGCATAACATGCTTACCCTCCCGGAACACGTGGTCCTATTCCCCTTATTCGTTTTCGTCGGTCTCCGTGTAAACCTCTCTTTTGTTAAAACTTTTATCAATCGAAGTTTCAAAAAATTTGAGTCGTTAATATTCTGTTGACATGTCGGAATTTCCTTTGTTTGTTTTTGTTGATCATTAAGACTAATATACCTTACTTTGTTAACTATCGATCTGACAAGTATACAGTAATAGTAAAATCATTATCAAAATCTATAGATAACAGTTGTGACAGAGTTAAGAATCCCAAACAGAACACCTGCAGATTCACAAATATGATATATACTTATAGTAATTATAACTTATGTGTCTGTATGAAATCAGATGCTGAAAGGCAATGCAGTATATTATGTTTAAATAACCACCACTACTAACTATATATAGCCCTGTTCTAATCACTACTGCCTACTTAGTATCTACAGAAATATCAATATGACGATAATCTTAGTTCTGTAACAATGGGCGATCTATTTAATTATACTTAGTAGTGTGCGAGTTCAGGTCATATTTATGGTGTACTAATGTCCATTCCAGCTATTTTGTTCTAATTTTTGTCAGAAAGGAATGTTTGCCTTTAAGTAACTTGCCTTTCTCTAACACTAGTTTAGCCTAATATTGACACACCCTGACGATACCGTAAGGACACTTGAAGTGATGAGCTTCCATTTAAATCGACGCTCCGAACAGTGTATTGACTTCAAGTACCAGGAGTGGAGTACACTATGTACACTAAAATATAAGATTCCTAGTCAACATTACCAGAATTCTGTGTGAGTCGTTTGGAATTGAATTATAGTTTTACGAAAATTGATTAACGACATTGATTGTGTGTAGATGCCGTTTCATCGTTCAATTTTCTATAAGTGATCCCGATTATGGATTTTACCTTAAATATCGGTAATGTATATCATATCTGTGTATAAAGGATATCGTTATATTGTAGGTATTGTGAGGTAGAATATCATTATGTTGGAGAGTTATAATGACTAATGAGAGAGTCGCGTCGCCATGGAAATACTTAGTTAAAATGAATTCTCTTTAATAGGGAAACCTCCAATCACATCCTTGTCAAGAAAATATATGATTGACAGCAAAATACAGAAAATGTTGTATATAAACATTTAAAAATGATTTATATCATAATATAGAAAATATTGCTCACCAGCATTGGTGATGCTTTAACTCTTTTGTCAGTATATCATGTGCTGAAAATATAGAAACAAAAACTGTCTGTTGCTCTCTAACTTTTTATATGCGACATGATCGATTTTTATACGATATATGCAAATACCATGTCCATACACTTAGAATACTGATCACTGGGATGCTCTGCGATAGCTTCCTTTGATATCGGTATTCTCCAGTATTGTAATGTAAATATATTGTCTTTCATTATCGTTTTATCCCCTCGTCATTCTATTGTGCTGAACATCGAACAAGTCGATGTCGTTTGTATTTAGCCAATTCTGGATTTATCATGACGTTCATTAACCCTTCTCGTTCAGAGTCTGGTAATACATGGTCACAAATGACAGAGGCACGACATTGGTGGTTTACAGGAATTCAAGTCCCTTCCATGTGTTTCCATGGATACCGCTATTTCTGGTGTTTGTTTATTAAAAAATGACCACAACATTGTATGAATTTGTAAATCAGCTGATGAAATGTAAGTGAGACTGGAATTTATCACTGTAGGACGCTCTAGATCTGAAGTCTATTGCAATATACTCATCATCATTGTCTTGTAATTTTTGCCAATAAGAAACAGAAACATAAGACATAGACTGAAGGATGAATACTTTAATTGGTGTTCGAGTATAACTCAGGTAGGTGTGACAATTGTAAGTGAATAACCATAACGTAGAGCTTTAAAACTTGTTTATAAAATTGAATGTTACCGCATGTGTATTGTATTTTGTCATAACATCGTAGATGCAATGCGATTTACAATATTTCCCGTTCGCTGGTTTTCTGTAAGAAAATTACACTGATATACCCCTTTCATAGTTTTGTATATTATACATTTGTAACATAGCTTATTGTGACGTCACTTTAGATAATGAAATGACGTTACACTTCACAGGTGACATTATGACGTAACAATGTAGACAACAGATACAGAGCGGAAATGACATCACGCATGATGGAGAAATATCCATGTTTTACCATAATTGTCTTAAAAATCGTCACGTGACGGATTCGTTTCCATGTGATATGTTATTTAAGAAACTCGTCACATATTTAACAGTTGAGCTCGCTGAAATGAAAAATTCTCAAGACCCGTTTCACACCTTCACATACCAGATAAAATCTAGCGGAAGTTCTATATTTATCTATATTTGGATAGTTTTAAATAACAGGTATGTTTGGTAAAGCAGAATGCGATTACCCTTAAACTGATAATGCTGACAAAGGGACTCCGTAAAATGTATTTCTTGCCACAAGTAACAATTTATCGGTACATTTTATCAATTTCTTTTTATTTTCCAGCAATATTGGTAACCGTTGGCAGACATGGATAATCCATTGTCGTCGGAAGTAGACAAGAAGACGGTGCTGTAAAGGGATCATTGTTTCTGGTGTGAATTCGAAACTACGGGATTCAAGATGGCCGCCATCGTAGATCAGGTGATCGGCATCATCACCAAGCCGGCGTATAAAAGAAATGAGATCGAAATTGAAGCCATCCTACCATGGCTGCGGAAACGGAGTCTGCTGCTTCAGAATCTGGACCGAGGTTTGTACTTCCCCCTTACCACAAAAGTACTCAATTATTGAACCAGTGTTTTTGATCCCAAAGCATTTGCATATCACTATTTTTGTGCTAGTGGAGTATCACATCAAATTATGTCATTATAACACGATAATCTCAGGTATGGCCCTTTCTTTAGCAAGTGTACTTTTAATTAAGACACTATTCTGTATTAAGTGTAATGTTTATGGTTGATTGTAATGAGCTAGATCCTATATAGAAGGGTAGACTCTCACCACTCGGTCTGTAGTCCACCTGTAAAAGATGTTCTGTCTCTTCGTTCTTGTTGGTGCTTACGTTTAGGTTGTATACTGTGAAAATACTGCTGGTTAGAACAACAAAATATTTATTTATGATGTGCATTTAACATGTAGATTACTCTTAATTTTAACATACTTGTCACACAGTGTGTGGGAAGATATATTATTGTGTGTAGTTTTCAACATTGAGAATCAACACTTAAACAGTGACGGACAAAGTTTAGTACTGGAGTCCATTAATCATCGACCTAGACAGGAGAGATGTGAGAAGATAAGGACACTGTGTTTCTACACCGTGTCGAGGAAGATAACGTTTTTCTGATCATGATAACACGACTGATCCTGATTATTACTACCTACATGTATATACTACAACGGATACCGTAATTAACAACCCGCTTAATTAACAAAGAACACCGAAGAAACACGGCGATTAAAACGTTACCAATATGATTGACATACTGTAGAACACATATTTCAAGCGCTGAAATTTCGGATTGTATTCAATTAGCGGACAGCGATCTGTTGTTGAATAATGACCTAAATTCATAATTGTCGAAAAAATAAGTAATTATAAGAACAAATACGGTACGTCGATTTTCCAGGTCTGCGAGTTCATTGTGTGGTGTGTGAATTACATATGGTTTATAAACGTGGTGTGTGTGTCTTTGTTATGAGAGCGCAGTCTATAAGTGAGGTGTCATACAACTTAATCATCAAGATTTGATACAGTTCCATTGATTTTATTGAATTTCATTAAATTAAAAATTTCAACGACGTGTCTACAGCTGACACACCATTTGACCTTTAAGGAATATCTGAAGGGAGCACGTATTTTCCCACAGGCAGTATCCAAACGCATCGCTACTCCTCCGTAGGTGACTGTAGAACTATATTATCAAATAAAGAAAAGTATCTTATTTAATAATATTCAAAAGGGCTCCCGAAATGGTGTATTTAAAAAACCGATGACGACAATTTTCAACAGTGTGTGGAGAGCATACAAATGTTTTGGATTTTAAGAGACATATAAACTGAACTATGTTTGTTCCCACAGGAAGGAAGCCAAATATACAGTAGTTGGGCATATATAACAATAGCTTGTTGTTCAATAGACACATAGGCTATCTTTACAAATTGGCTCCCGAAGTCTTAGTGTCGATAGAAGTCGAGTGAAGTCTTAGTGTCAATAGAAGTAGAGCGAAGTCTTAGTGTCGATAGAAGTCGAGCGAAGTCTTAGTGTCAATAGAAGTCGAGCGAAGTCTTAGTGTCAATAGAAGTAGAGCGAAGTCTTAGTGTCGATAGAAGTCGAGCGAAGTCTTAGTGTCGATAGAAGTCGAGCGAAGTCTTAGTGTCAATAGAAGTAGAGCGAAGTCTTAGTGTCGAGAGCGAAGTCTTAGTGTCGATAGAAGTCGAGCGAAGTCTTAGTGTCAATAGAAGTAGAGCGAAGTCTTAGTGTCGATAGAAGTCGAGCGAAGTCTTATTGTCGATAGAAGTAGAGCGAAGTCTTAGTGTCGATAGAAGTAGAGCGAAGTCTTAGTGTCGATAGAAGTCGAGCGAAGTCTTAGTGTCGATAGAAGTAGAGCGAAGTCTTAGTGTCGATAGAAGTCGAGCGAAGTCTTAGTGTCGATAGAAGTCGAGGGATATTCGTTTTATAAACTCATACATGGTAATGATGTAATAAAATCTACATGTTACGTAAAACGGTTTAATCATCCTGTATTTTAGACAATTAATATAAAAAATATTTCTCCCAGGAGTCGATGGTAGACATTCTCAATTAATTTAAATGCCATATAAGGCTATCTTTCATTTGTGAATATCACTGATACTATGTATAAATATAGGGTTACATTTCGGCCCCCCCTATAGTCTTGCTGAATAGACGCGAGTTATAAATTGGATGTAATGGTCACACAATGGACAACATGTTAGAACTGATACCGTTTAAACACTGTTAAGAATATAGAACTCGAGAAAATCTTTTTGATATTTTTTTGGATAATGGATGGTACATGTACTGTAGAGAAGTGTGATCTGGAGTATTGTGATCATACCTAGAGGGTTATATATTGTATAATACAGTAAAAATCAATCTTTATCTAATCATTTGTTTTCGTGTTCAGCATCGAAAATGAATCTAGCTTTCCTATAAATTCATAAGCAAAGTCCATTACCCGAATGGAAGTGAAGTAATTTTGTACAAAGGCCGGAATATAAGATTTATTATTAAAATTAAACAGAAACCTTCCTCGTACCTATAATGTTAACATCTTACTACATAATACCGATGATATCAGAAGTCACAGATATTAGTTCTGTCATAGTGTAGACAGAGAAGTGAATTAGAAGAACTGGGGACAGGTATTCCCTACAAAATATTATATCTGGTGATATTTTATATAAAACGTCAATTGTTATACTAAATTTTGATATTATTTTACTGTTGGTGAAGAAGAAAGATTACGTAAGGCATGATAACTCACGGTTATCTCCCTTCGTACACGTCTGCAGCATTTCAGGAGCTATAGAAGACATTGAAAAGTAATGTTTTAACAAAACATTGATCATTTCGTTGGTGTATTACTTACCGTACTAAATGGACATTTAATCATCTGTAAGTAAAAAGAAGGAGAACACAGAGAAAAGTACTATCTATGAACATTGGGCTAATACTTCATTAGCTTCCGATGTGTACATAAAACTTTCTCATTTTATGGGACGAATTATAAAGAATAGGATTTGTTTTTTAAAGTCGATGACACGAGTCTTAGTCAACTTTTACCAGCTGTTCTATATAAGAAGTTTTCTATATTGTCATGTTAATATTGTGTGGTTCATTATTGTTTAAAGCCTGCACTGTTGGCGTCAGTCTTATACAACGTGCATATTCTAGGCTAATTATCTTCCATAAAGATATTGGTTACCATATTACACAAACCTTTTATACATAGACAACAGACGCTTCGTCGGTTTACCTGTTTAGGGACTGTCTCGGACTACAATAGGCAGGTACAATGTTTAGGGACTGTCTTGGACTACAATAGACAGGTACAATGTTTAGGTACTGTCTCAAACTACAATGGACAGGTACAATGTATAGGGACTGTCTCGGACTACAATAGACAGGTATAATATTTAGGTACTGTCTCGGACTACAATAGACAGGTACAATGTTTAGGTACTGTCTCGGACTACAATAGACAGGTACAATGTTTAGGTACTGTCTCGGACTACGATAGACAGGTACAATGTTTAGGTACTGTCTCGGACTACAATAGACAGGTACAATGTTTAGGTACTGTCTCGGACTACAATAGACAGGTACAATGTTTAGGTACTGTCTCGGACTACAATAGACAGGTACAATGTTTAGGTACTGTCTCGGACTACGATAGACAGGTACAATGTTTAGGTACTGTCTCGGACTACAATAGACAGGTACAATGTTTAGGTACTGTCTCGGACTACAATAGACAGGTACAATGTTTAGGTACTGTCTCGGACTACGATAGACAGGTACAATGTTTAGGTACTGTCTCGGACTACGATAGACAGGTAAAATGTTTAGGTACTGTCTCGGACTACGATAGACAGGTACAATGTTTAGGTACTGTCTCGGACTACGATAGACAGGTACAATGTTTAGGTACTGTCTCGGACTACGATAGACAGGTACAATGTTTAGGTACTGTCTCGGACTACGATAGACAGGTACAATGTTTAGGTACTGTCTCGGACTACAATAGACAGGTACAATGTTTAGGTACTGTCTCGGACTACAATAGACAGGTACAATGTTTAGGTACTGTCTCGGACTACGATAGACAGGTACAATGTTTAGGTACTGTCTCGGACTACAATAGACAGGTACAATGTTTAGGTACTGTCTCGGACTACAATAGACAGGTACAATGTTTAGGTACTGTCTCGGACTACAATAGACAGGTAAAATGTTTAGGTACTGTCTCGGACTACAATAGACAGGTACAATGTTTAGGTACTGTCTCGGACTACGATAGACAGGTACAATGTTTAGGTACTGTCTCGGACTACGATAGACAGGTACAATGTTTAGGTACTGTCTCGGACTACGATAGACAGGTACAATGTTAACATATAAGTATAATAACCTGTATCTAACTAAGCTGTATTATCAAATGTTTTGTGAGTAAAGCTGATTAGAATAGCAAGAGTGTAGGTACACCAGAAAGTATCCAGACACATCAATAAATTTGTACCCTTGTACAACAATACCTCTTTCAAATAAGTTACGAGGGATGATTGATAAGTTGTGAGCCTCATATTTAAGGGTTTGACTCTTGGCAGACATGTTATATTATTTTTTACCATAATCCCCTTCAGTATCTATACACATTTGCCAGCAATGCTTAAGGGCCTCTATGCCACTTTTAAAGACCTTTTCTTAACAGTTTAGAAAGCCATCCACTGCATGTATGACGTCCTCATCTGATCGAAAGTTGATACCAGAAATGGCCTAGTTTCCAATTTTGGAAATATATGAATGTCTTATAGTGCGAGTAACTGAACCTACGAGAATAACGCCAACTACCTCCACTTTACTAGATGTTGTCTTAACAAATAATATTAGTATTATCCAGAACACTGTTGTTCATCCTCCAATTTGCAGTGACCACTCAGTCGTATCTTTTGATGTTCTTTATTCAATATTTAAGCAAAAATCTTACATTAGTGAAAAGTATATTTTTCATGAAGCTGATATTGAGAGTATGAATACTGGGTTGGCATCAATTGATTGGAATACATTATCTAGTACTTTATCTGTGGTTGAATTGAACCAATATCTTATTGATTGTATTAATGATTTGATTTCTTGTTTCGTTCCTGTAAAAAAAGATTACTATTCGTCCAAATGATAAACCCTGGATGAACAGGGAGATTAAATTGAAAATTAGACAGCGTAACCGTGTTCATAAAAAAGCTAGATCTGGCTCATCTCAACAACACTGGGAAAACTACAGACAAAAAAGAAATGAAGTAATTGATCTAATAAGAAAAGCAAAGAAAACATATTATGAAAATCTAGAGAAATGTCTAAGTGATAAAACCCTTCCCCCAAGTAAGTGGTGGAAGATTGCCAACTCAGTATTCAAAACTAATAATAAATCAGTCTCATTGCCACCTTTAAATGATAATGGTTCATATATTAGTTATCCCTTTGCAAAAGCTGAATGTTTGAATACTTACTTTACTTCTATTTCTACTTCCTCTGCAAATCTTGAGCCTTTACCACCAGTTATACCTAATACTCATCTCATTTTGGACAATATTATTATTTCTGAACAAGATGTTAAAGATCAACTCTCTGTTCTTAATGACAAGAAACCACCGGGTCCAGATAAGCTTTCTCCAAAAATTATTAAAATGCTTGCTCCCTCTATTTATCTTCCTCTTACTATACTATTTAACAAAACCCTTGAGACTGGTACTATCCCCTCTCTTTGGAAATCTGCCAATGTAAGTGCTATTTACAAAGGAAAGGGTACTGAAAATCATGTTTCTAATTACAGACCTATCTCTGTAACTTCATGTTTCAGTAAAATTTTAGAAAAAATCATTTTTAAATATCTTTTTAATCATCTTTATGAATCGGAATTCATATCAAAACACCAATCTGGTTTTATACCAAAAGATTCGACTGTTAATCAACTGCTTTTCATATATCACACAATAATAAGTAATTTAGATACTAACAAAGAATTAAGATTTATTTTTTGTGATATAAGTAAGGCGTTTGATAGGGTCTGGCATGAGGGTCTGTTGTATAAACTTGAATCATATGGTATAAAAGGTAATGTTATCAATTGGTTTAAAAACTATCTTTCAGACAGGAAACAAAGGGTTGTAGTTGATGGTTTTGCCTCTACTTTTAAACATGTTCATGCAGGAGTTCCTCAAGGATCAGTCCTAGGGCCTTTCCTTTTTCTTTTATACATAAATGATATCACTAGCTGTGTAACTAGCTGCATAAAATTATTTGCCGATGACACATCACTTTTTAGAATAGTTAATACTAACCCTATAGAAGAAGCAGAAATACTGAGTGATGATCTTAATGATATCAATAATTGGTCTAGACAATGGGATATTAAATTCAATGCAGCTAAAACAGAATCTGTAGTATTTTCTAGAAGGTCTGAACCAGATCATCCTGATATTTTTTTCAATAATGAGCTTGTTTCAGTGTCAACTTTTCATAAACACCTTGGTCTCTTTTTTAGTAGTGATGGCAAATGGAATAAACATATTGATTACATATACAAGAAGGCAAACCAAAAAATGAATATTTTACGGCTATTGAAGAATAAAATTGACAGAAAATCTCTTACAGTACTTTATATATCCCATATTAGACCAATTCTTGAATATGCTGATACTGTTTGGGATAACTGTCCAGAATATGCCAAGAACCTATTAGAATCAATCAATCTTGAGGCAGCAAGGATTATAACTGGGTTACGCAGAGGTACCTCCAATGAAAAACTGTATTCAGAGCTAGGCTGGGTATCCTTAGATGACAGAAGGAAAAAACATAAAATGACTTTGATGTACAAGATCTTAAACAAAGAATCGCCAGACTATCTATATGATATTGTACAACCCTATTTAAATATTCCTAATGAATCTAGATACCAACTCAGAAATAATAGAATTTTTAATGAACCTTTTTGTCGCACTCTTTGCTATAACAAAAGTTTTTTTCCGAATATGATCTGTGAATTCAATAAAATAAGTGACTCTCTGGTTGACATTCACTCCATTGGCCAATTCAAAAAATTCCTTGATAGGGTATTAAACTTATATGTAAATAATAATGCTGATGTCAGTGTTGTCTTTAAAGAATATGGACAAAGAAAATACAACATTATCCTCTGTCAGCTAAGGAACTCAGCTAGCTCTCTTAACTTTGATCTGCATAATGACCACTTACTAGATTACCCCATATGTGCTTGTGGTGCACCACTTGAAACAGTACAACACTTTTTCTTTGACTGTCCAAGATATATAAACTTTAGATCAGATTTGTATCATTGTCTATATCAACATGATCATCCACACTATGAATTAGAGATTATTCTTAATGGCTGTCATGATTGTGATACTAATACCAATAAATTAATATTACATTCTGTAACTACCTATATAATTGATACCAAAAGATTCTCCTAAATGCAGCCCACTAGCTCATGGCTTCCGTAATTATAACTTAAACCATTTATTGTTTTGCTAGAATATTGAAGAGTTCTGATAATCTGGTTTAATATCTCAAAACGATTCATAAAAAGGGATATAACTCACTAGTAATTCTAGAACAGAAAATCCTTTATATTTGGGAAAAATAATTCTATTCAACAATAATGCACATACAGGTATACTTGCCTCTCCATTGGACGGGAAGAGGGTCAACTTTACTACCATGGACTCTTATGACCCAAATCCTGTCTCTATGGAGGAACAAGTATACCAAATATGCATTTATTTAATTTAACAACTACTAAATTCTACAGATTGGATTATCTTATATTTTTTTTTACTAATTATGTCTAGTTACCAAAATGAATAAGAGTTATCTCCCTTACAGTCATTAATTACATAAAACTCAGTAGTTGTCTGTCTGTCTATCTGTCTGTCTGTCTCTGTCTATCTGTCTGTCTGTCTGCATGCATGCATGTATGTATGTATGTATGTATGTAGGTTGTATATGCTTTGTATGAAAGTGTGCTAAAGACTGATGTCTGTATACATGTTTATTCTATTCTATAACTGTCTGACCACCTGTGTTGTCTTCGGAGAGGACTTATATAGGCTTATGCCTGCTGTCCGATCCTATTAATGCAATTTGTTTTTGTATTAATAAAATATTTTGAAACTTAGTGCGAGATCAGGTGAATAAGGCAGATGTGCAATCAATTCAAAGCCACAATCGTTAATGGCAGCCATGGCAATGACATCATACTTGTGAATAGAGGCATCGTCCTGGTGGAACATCACACCTTTACTGAGCTTTTCGCTGTGCTTGAGTTTGATATTTTCTCTTATTTGTCTTAGAAGTGATGCATGATATGTGCCATTGATTGTTTGACCCTTTTGCAGATTATCTGATATAAGAATATCATCAGCATCCCATAAAACCTTTCCAGCTTTTCTTTGCCGTCTTTGTTGTTTGGCTTCTGGGGTGAAATGATGGACATGTTTCGTCCATAGTCACAAACCTCTGTTTCCTGCGACTTCCAAACTGTACTGGCTATATATCTCTGAATCCTGGAGATGGACCACTGACAGACCTTCCAGGACGGGCGTCATTCCAAAGGCTTGGCCTGCCACTCTTAAATTCCGCCACCACTTTTTCACTGTAGCATATGAAGGGGCATCATTTCTTAGTGTTGCTACCATATCTGTATAGTGCTAGACCTTTCTTATGCAAATTTTGAATTACTGCTTTTCAGCGATTTTGTTCAATTTGCAAAAGCCTTGTTTATTTTAGAGTGCTACCTCTCCAACATTAACTGACCAAATCACACCAGTCTACGGGTATACAGCCTTAAATAGTCAGGGAATAATAGAGTTGAAAAAGGACATCCCTGCTTAACCTCTTAAATACAATGATCACAACTTATCATTCAGTACTCGACTCTATTTTTTTTCTACACGAATGACTGATTTGGTTTTGTCTCGCATTGTCATGTGTTCATGTTGCTTTCCATTCCTACAGTGTTGATACTTTGTCTGCTGTATGTAAAACATCTCAGTGAAGAGCGACTTGTACATGAATCAGTTCCATGCTTGATGAAGTATTCAGTTGTATACGTCCTAGTTCTTTTTATCTGACTGTTGTCTTCATACAAGGACAATCGTCATTAGCCAGAAGCTTTTAAGAAACAATTGTTTCACTTTAATAGATTTAATTTATTTACAGACAAACAAATCCCGATTTATACCCCCAATCAACGAAGTATGTCCTTTTGTGTGAAAGCATCATGTCGTACTCGAACACATCGATATCCAGATGAAGCCAGCTCACCAAACCATTGAATTTGCTTGATATGAAATATTTTTTAAAATGTTACTAATTGTAATTTGTAGGTTGAGTTAGTTCTGTTCTGTTCGCTTTGTTCCACAAAAAACCGCATTATTTACTTTGGTAAACTACTGCTTGAACAGGTAAACAGACATTATTTGTTCGCCTGAAATTAATGGACGTTTTCATCATCGTTCTTCGATTTTAACCAATCACCATTGTGTCGTTGAATTGAATGCCACACGTCAAATCATTACTACAATATATTGGTTAGACTGACGAACTATTTAGAGTCGAAAACTTAATAGCGAGACATGATCATTAATATAAAAGCGACACCACTCGTATCGTATCAACAGTGAATTTTAGTTAAAGCCTTTATGGCAAATGTAACAATGAAATTGAATCACTTAAAAGATTGTGTAGAAAGGATTTAAATACCCGGGAAAGTCAATAACCCTAGTCAGCCTGAGATATCTATCACTGGTATTGTCGCTCGAGCTGTGTCAGACAATAGGCATGTTTTTAATCGTAAATATCAATATTGTCATGTGTTTTTACAGGAGTTTTACAAGATATCATGAAGAACTGTACCTACCAAGCTTGTGAGAGGGACGAAATAATCATTCGACAGGGAGAGAAGGGTGACAGGTGAGAGTTTTATTTATAGATATCATATAACATCTATCTATATAGGAGTAAATTGTGATAAAGGATGAGATCGTCTATAGACAAGTAATGATTTAGGCTTCAAATATTATGTCTTAATATATATTGAAACTCGATATATGCAAAGTCAAATCAGATCAAAAATAACATAAGTATAGAGAAAGTAATGTTTCAACTGATTAATACGTGTTTCTTTACTCCTCGAGTTCGGAATGTTTCACTGTAACATGTAGGAAGATGATATTTACACGGATGGCTATCTGACAACCTTTTATAGTCTGTTATACTATATATAATGCTACAGTCTTTTTCGTGTATCTCTATTGTCGTGGTTATAATATATTTATTCCAGAGCTTGTGCCTATTGCTATATTTGTTTTATAAATAATGTGCATTTTACTTGACTTATGGGTAAATTTCGTTCTGTATGTTTGATGGATACAACCAGGTGTGATTATTAGGTGATGTTACAGTAGGGTCAAAAGACACACGGTTTTAATTTCTAAAACAAAGGCAATGCTACATGTCTTTCCCTTGATCGTGGCCGAGTTCTGTAAACATGACATTCTGTGGTAATATCATGACACGTATAGCGTGTGGATCCACAGTGTTTAATATCTATGATACCATAAAAGCATGTTTAATATGAAGTACAACACAACAGTATATACTTTGAACACGTTTGTCTGTGAAACTGCATTCTGATCCCCAGAGTTACTTCCCTTCATTTCACTCAGTATAGTATAGCGTGATGGGGGCCGAGAATGGTGAAACTCAGAAATTTAGCTTATTAAAGTTTTAAATAAAATCATAGTTCTTCCTGTAAAACCGTAACACCGTGTGTAGTGTCTTAAATAAATACGTATGACGTGTATATTTATATTCACGGACACCTGTTTTAAATACCTATATCTGATTAATAATGTTGACTATCGAGTTTAGCATGAGGTTATTTCTACTAACATGTGTAAGTGTCACATCGGGTCAGGATTCATACATACAATAATACACGTGTCGGTATTGAATTATACACCAAGAAAGTAGACAAACTCCGAACAGTCTATCAAATTTAGAAGAATCTGTCCACGAATCTGTACGACACACTGGTAAATGTGAGAAGATAAAAAACTCCCATTACATTTAATACTTTATCATTACGATTTTGACGTGCCTTAGAAAGACTAAATGGTTGTATAATACAGTTTACGTCATTATCAGACCTTAGTATCATTGACGAGTTCTAGAAAGACGAAACAACCATGTGATATAGTTTAATTTATTATTAGACCTTAGCTTCTAGAAAGGCAAAAGAACTGCATAATACAGTTTGATTGATTAAAAAAGCATGTTTGTATTTGTCAGTATAGCTATGTCTTTTTTACTATAAAAAGTTTCTTGATAAACCAGCAAAAGACACATGTCTACCGTACAGTAGAAAGGTCAGTGACACGTATTTGTCATTAGGAAGATGAAATTTCCGAAGTGTTTAAATGGTTCTAGTTGTGATCTATGTGGTCATTACATTGGTGTGTGGTCCACTGCTCAACATTCAGTTGACGCCCTGTTTTAAATGTGAAATTTTAAAAATGTCTTCTCGAACCAAACGGATTCTAACCCTATGTCAGCGATCCTTCATTAATCACACTCTTTATAGCATTTTCTTTACCGACAATCGAGGCAGATAAACGCGTTTGTACAAAGCAGAAACGGAATGAATGTAGATTGAAGGAATTAATTTGAATTTCTGCTTAAAAACGTAAAGGTTTTTAACCATTCATATATCTAAATATCTTATTTGTTGTTGACAATGACTTCAGTTTAAATTCCATGTGATTACATTCCAATGTGAATATCGTGTCAGGTTTTAATCGATTTTGTAAAACATAGACCTACATCCACATGACATCGACAGGTCTAGATTTACAGGTAACTTTCCGTTGATAAATGCTTTGTATTAGATGATGTATGGAAATCTAAATCACACAGAAGGCAAACACTTTTAATTAGAATATTTTGAAGGAAACAAATTCGATCACAGACTTACACAGTTACAATCTAATACTGATAATTCTATATGTTTAATTTTGTGTGGATTCTCAGTGGGTCGTCTTATTTCTATCGAGGGTAAAGTAATGATAATTAAACACCTGCCACCGAGATCACGGGTATTTACACGCGTCCTTTACTTCTAAAATAGAGGTATACTGGTGTATTCGTTATCGATATTGTCAGGGTACTTAAACATTTAATCTCTGTATTGTTGAGGTTGTAAAATATCACATAATCAGTAAACTACAATATACTAAATTATCCACGATACCTTAATTTCATATTCGAGTTATTTCAGAAACTAAAATTGGAGAAATTATATGTGAATCGGAACTCAGCAGTGACATAGGGTATAAAATGGGAGTTATGAATCGAATGACTAAGTTACCTTCATAATTAATCTAACGCAATCTTTAGAGTACCTTTTTGACATTTTATTTCGGAGTAATTGAATAATACTGTAGGACATGTCACACATGTCGTTATAATGCTAGCTGTACTATGTAGTATTCATTGAGGGATATTCTGAAGATTTACGTCACATGTCGTTATAATGCTAGCTGTGCTATGTAGTATTCATTGAGGGATATTCTGTAGATTTACGTCACACGTCGTTATAATGCTAGCTGTGCTATGTAGTATTCATTGAGGGATATTCTGCAGATTTACGTCACATGTCGTTATAATGCTAGCTGTGCTATGTAGTATTCATTGAGGGATATTCTGTAGATTTACGTCACACGTCGTTATAATGCTAGCTGTACTATGTAGTATTCATTGAGGGATATTCTGCAGATTTACGTCACATGTCGTTATAATGCTAGCTGTGCTATGTAGTATTCATTGAGGGATATTCTGTAGATTTACGTCACACGTCGTTATAAGGCTAGCTGTACTATGTAGTATTCATTGAGGGATATTCTGCAGATTTACGTCACATGTCGTTATAATGCTTGCTGTGCTATGTAGTATTCATTGAGGGATATTCTGTAGATTTACGTCACATGTCGTTATAATGCTAGCTGTACTATGTAGTATTCATTGAGGGATATTCTGTAGATTTACGTCACACGTCGTTATAATGCTAGCTGTACTATGTAGTATTCATTGAGGGATATTCTGCAGATTTACGTCACATGTCGTTATAATGCTAGCTGTACTATGTAGTATTCATTGAGGGATATTCTGTAGATTTACGTCACACGTCGTTATAATGCTAGCTGTACTATGTAGTATTCATTGAGGGATATTCTGTAGATTTACGTCACACAGCTAGCTGTACTATGTAGTATTCATTGTCAATACAGTGACATTGATTGATCACTTTACATGGAAATCAACAATTCAGTGATATGTAATGCTAACGACGTAATCGTACCAAGGTAGTTTCATTATAAACATTATATTAGTATATATAAATATATTTGTAGACGGTGTGTTTATGTATTTTAACTCATACTTTATCATAAATCATAATTTGATAAAATATCCGTCAGTTTTAAGTTTGCTATGCAAACTCTCCCAAAACAGCAAGTTGTTTTTCTATAGAAGGCTAGTCTAAAGTAGATAGCTTCAAATTTAATTCAAATGATAAACATATAGCGGAGTGAATGTATATTCACAACTTAATAACAACACACAGTGTACACCCATACAAAGTATAGCGGTTGACGTCAACAGATAAGTACATAGGGTAGTCATTGTAAATCTGTGCGTTTCAAAAACGACTATAGACTGTCTCAAGGTATATTCTGTTGTGTCTAAAGTAAAAAAATATCATCAGTTCTAAATAATGTGTAAAACAAATTCTGTGAATATATATACATAGAGTGACCGACAAATAGGTAAAATCATTTCTAAGCAATGTCTAATGGAGAGTCCTATAAAGACGAAACAGATGTATGATGTAGCATCACTGACTAGTCTTAGAAGGAGGATTAACTTTTGATACAGCATCCCTGTAAAAATCAGATAATTTCTAAACAATTTGTAAAATAAATGTAAATATCTAGATAGAATGACGTGGTTGATAATACAGTCAAATAGATAAGCATATTCATTGTGTATATTTTGGTGAGATAGTTTAGAGACCTAAGTATGCGATGAATGATTACATCATTATACTTTAAACTCGCTGCATAAAAAATGATAAACAGTTCCAATATATACCAGATTACTTATTGTGTGAAACGGTGAGAGTTGTACGTAAATACTTGATTGACAGGTGTCAAATGCAATCAACTACTCAATATATATCCCTACAGGTGTTGTACATTGCACGTTAACCGAGTTTAGAGATATTTGTTTGGGTATAATATAGACATAAGGACAATATTCCATAAATTAATTGTAAAAGAATGTGTAGTTATTAATCATTTCTGACAGCAATTTTTTTATTCTTCTGCCGCCTGTTCTTGTATCATTGGCACTTATATTACAAACGTAATTGAAACAGCTCTATATATAGCTCTGCATGTGGTTTAAGATAATTCTAAGCCATGCTCCTTAGACAGATTAAGATTTTCAAATGTTTATATAAACGTTGGCAGTGACAGCTGACCTGGTCAAGTTCCAGATTAGCATAGCATTAAAAAACTAAATTATCAATGAACGGGTGTTTGATAATAACAAGTTACTTGCATGGCGATAAAATTAGTATGCATTGTTGAAATTGGAACCATTGACAATCCATGAAAATCCCTATATTATTTGAGTAAATTGTGTGAAACAAGATTCAATAACAAGTGTAAAATTAAAGTTTTTCTGTGAGAAATCTGTGTTGTAATGGACTCGATTCAGGAGGATTATTCTGTACGGCCTTCCTCTGACAAGGGATGCTCAATTAACTGGACTGAGGTTGATAAATAAACTGTGTGATAAAGTGCATTTCATTCAGTAGACTTCTTTATATTTATAACATATATAATGGTCTATATATCTAAGGCAGTGTAATGTTTGTTTGGAGACATATAGACATCAAAGTACACAAGCGGTATTCATTCTAAATTTGCTGTCGATATTTTCATAGCATACATAATGTTGGGGAAAGACATGAACGTCCTATGAAACAGGATTTGTGCCCTATTTCAAACAATGCTGACAACAGCAGACATATAAATACAAGGTGATTCTACTTTATTACTTAGTTGCGATGTCGAGGAAGACTGGTATGTATATATTGATGTGTTTGTGTGGAGCGAAAATAATGCTTTCAAATTCTTTTACGCTTTATTAGAGGGATGTCGCTGTGAACATGAACATACCCTAACAGTTTGAATAGATGGGCATATGGCATTAAAAGCTAATACAAATTTTCTTTCAGTTGGAGGAATTAATGGATGTCAAGTTCTAAATTAAATTCAATAATACAATGAAGGCTTACCTGGCTGCTAACCTGTTTTAAGCTTCCAATCAAGCGCTCTACTGAATATGACTTAGAATTGCTACAGACTAATATTAAAGTTTTCGTGTCTGCATTCAATAACTATCAAACTTTTTTCTTTTTAAGTTGTATGAATATCCTATTGCTTACGAATAACAAAATGTTTTCGGGACAATGGGATAGTTTTTTGCTATGTTTCTTTCATTTATCTAAGCTGAAAATGAAATTAAGACTTGGGTGCTATTTCTCACACTAGAGATGATTATTGTGATTTTTTTTCTTATATTACAAACATTTAGGAATATCAACATCTTTTACGATTGTTTGTATACTTTGAAAATAGATATAAGAAAGTCATGAAGTATATATATGTGTGTATGTTTCTATTTATTTGAAGAGTGTCAGTAATTTCTGTTGAATAATTCGTAAATGACTTCGTGTTTTATTTGCATCATACATTCATATACATTGGGGAGATAATTACATTTCGACATACGAAAATCTTATCACTTATGAACGGATCGCACATCATTATGATAGTTTGAAATCCATAATCATTTCATAACACATATTAATAATTATTATAACGCGATATCCTTAATTATTTCATCAAACATATTCATAATTATGATACTGTGAAATCCTTAATTAATTCATAAAACATTCATGATTATGGTAGTGTGAATTTTTTATTAATTGATCAATTATATTCATAATTATGGTAGTGTGAAATAGATAATGAATTGATCAAATATATTTATAATTTTGATACTGTGTGTTATATTATATAAGGTGTATTAATTGAACTCTTACACTGTTACAGTATATACATGTCTCTTCATAATAATCATTTTTGATTGACTCTATATTGAATGAAATGACGATTTGTTTTAATTCTGAAAGTTCAGTAAATAAATCATTTTAGAAATACCTTGCTCTTTGAAGATACTGACATCAGCATGTTACAAACACATTGCATATATATATATGGATATATTACGTGTTAAAATGCATGTAACACCTCACAACCAAAACTTAAAGATAAGATACAGTTTAGGTTGATAGGTTCTAAAGTTGTTAATCTCGATGTATATAAAATATCAATCAAGTGATGTGACGTCATTAAACGACTTCTGACTTGTATTCCGTAGATCTACTAGTTCTAAGTTATCTTTCGTATTTTAGATGTTATAGTCAAGCACGTGCGTGACAGACAAGGTATATTTCTGTATTTCATGCTGTTTGAGTTGCCTTTGTTGATTACAAAGACAGCTATATCAAAAGCACGTAGAACGACGAAACTCATTATGTACTTGTGTATTTCTTTTAAAGGGAAAACATACGATTGCGCCCTTTCAAAAACATGACCCAGAAGTGACATTTGGTGTTTTTGTTTGCCTGTCGACAACGTTACAACATCGTTAATGTGTACAGACTTAGTTCATATTGTACCCTGTATTCTTTGTTGTAGTATAACTGTGAAATTGTATCGTCTCACTATCAATAAATATCTTACCTAGCGTTTAGATTTTACGGAGGTACATTTAGGACATGCACAATATTATTTTTTGTATCAATTATCACGAGAGTTCGACTTTTTATAAGTAGAGTGCTCGGGAAAATAGGTCAAGTCGAGCTCTTGAGATAATTGATGTAAAAATAGTATTGTGCACGTCCTAAATGTACCTCCATAAGATTTCCAGTTATTTATCTATTTTTGTTAAAAATCAATGTTTAGACGTGTTTTATCAATAACTTGCTGTACGCTAAGTTGTTTGTAAATATTTTCGTAACATTTCCACATATTTTTTATATAAAACACGAACAAAGTGAACCTTTCTTCAAAGCAGGACGTAAATATCCAACAGCAAATATATAAAACCTCTTTCAGGACACCGACATGTTTATCTACATGTAAACTTTTGAAATGCATATTCTTTGCACCATGCCATTCTTTGATGTCTAACGTGTATCTTATATGTCGTCCAGCGCATTGAGGTATTGTTTATCTTCTGATAATAGGGACTGATATCAAGTACATTTCAGTTTTATGCGTCACTTTTGCGTGAATTTCAAGTATTATTATCGGGATAAAATGGGTTTCGTGTAAATGATACACTAAGTAATCATAAAATAATTGGTCCTTTTTCGAAAAATAAAAATCAAGGAATGTATTTATTCACTATAATAAATCCGTCTCATTGCTGTAAGTTAATGTTGAAAAGAATCAGTCAAGTTCACTTCAACGTAATGACAGATTTATAGTTTTATTCTTAACGATGTTTTTCATGTCAAATACTATATTCTAGTATATCAGAGTAAGTAAAAAACAACGTCTTATTTATCTTAAAGGTAGATCTATTTACTTCTTATACTCCAAAGACTTTCGCCCTCGGATCAGTCGATGTTTTACACAATATGTTTATATTAATGTGCGAAGACCCACCTTTACATTTTACATTTAAACATTTCAATCCTGGGACACACAGGTATCATTATACATATATAAAATGTTTACCCGTGCACACATCAGCGAGTGCTATTGACACAGATAATTGCCTTTCACTGAAAACAACCGATAGGTTTTCTAGTAGATTGGTATATTACAGATCGGTATGATATGATCTATTATCTCTGTCTCGCTGGTAGCGGGACATAGTACCAGGTATATTATGAAGGTTAATTATAGTGACTGTATAGTTTTGTGTGTAGGTAAAAGTATATGTCTAGTTAACGTCACCGAAGATATTTACCTGAGGAACTAATATGTATGTATAATTACTAATCACCTCAGGTGAGAATCAGGTACGTATCTTGATTTGCCTTGATTTTAAAGTATAAACATGGCTGATATGTTGGATTTCAATATCATCAGCGCTTTAGAAATTTGTGATTGAGATAGAGGTTTTTAAAAAATTATGCAAACTTTTTCACGAGGGAGGACACGTATTTTCATTTGATATCCTGGACGGGCCTATGTGAATTATTCTGAAGATCTGACCACAGGTGACTGTAATACTATCAATATATCCTGGTGGATTTGTTATGCATGTGTAGTTTGAGTGTTTAAGTGATTTTTAAAGTGCATTTGAAAGCATATTAAAACCACTACGAATACTGCTGTTGGGGATCTCTTGGATATAAATGGAATGTAGCACATGTAACAGTAGGGTTAACTGACTGTTGACCTGAATGGTAAACCGCGTGCAGTTAAATATTTACCTGTAGATTAAAGTTGTGTTTAACACTGTAGGTGGTCGGAAAGTATAGGAAAACGACCGCGTATTACATCTATCATACTCAAGGTATGCTAGTCTATCCCTATATTCAAACGAGAATTTTATCTTAAAAATACGTCACGTCTCTGAGGCAGGACTACCTACCTATACTTCAATTGTAAATATAGATGTGAAATATAAACTGTCTGAATTGGTCGTATAGGGAATCGACAGTGGATGTGGAACCGAGGTATGTATAGGATGTGTGTTTGGGAATTTGTTTTGCTGATTGTTTTAAAATGATTGCACCTTTGTTTGTGTTTAATTTGCTGGTAAGAATATGTTTTTCATGTTTTGTTTTGAAGCTTTCTGGAGGATTCAGCAATGTGAGCTGAAGTTCCGTGTAGGAGTTATACCGAAACCGTTTTGTCTGTTTTATAAACTCTCACACACCGAATCGCTTTGGATGTCCTCACGAATTGCTAGATCTCGTATATTTGCTTCACGATTTGTTTGTGTATTAACTGTATTTGTTATCAATGCTTTTTAAATTTTATTTTTTTATTGTTTTTAGAGCTGCGTGTTGGCCAGTGATTAATACACTTTTGTTCAGCATTGTTTTTCTTATGAAGTTGCATGAAGCACTCATTTTTTCGTAAAAACAAAGATGACTACTAATTATGTCAGACTGAAGTTAAAGGCCCAGGATATTCCATAGAACCGACAGTTGTCAGTGCAGTATTATATAAAATGACTACTAAATAGAACACTGAAATTTCAGGCACAGGATATTCCAAAGTACCGACAGGTGTTAGTTTATTTTATCTTATCTTTCCTAAATTTGGATCAAAACACTGTATCTACAACCTAAATGTTGATATATGTATACAAAGGCGATGTGGCGATTTGCGTTTGATCTGTGATTCTAATCAATGATATTCACTCATACTTTGTTAGGAATGTGTACGAGTCAAGTAAACTGGACTGTTTAATACCAACTGTCACTGTTATCGAAGTACTGATACTCTGTTGGCTACATTAAAGTGACATGAAAGGTCACTTACGATCATTCCTAATCCCTGTGCTAATACAGAATACCAAGGGCAAATCAATACACCGCCTCATCTTATCACCATCACATGACCCTAACACGTCATGGCCCTGTGGGAGTCGGGATAACAGCTACCTGCGATTTTCTCTCCCTTGGCCACAAATCATGTCAAGATTATATAATGCTTATCAAAAACTCTGCATAAAAGGGACGAAATGTACCTAGTCATATCTTTGTCTATTTTTAATCGGCAATTTTATCAACACCTGAGAAGCTTGAAAACAATTAAATTCTATTCCAAATCGTATTGGCAACATGGAACTAATTTGATTGAATAACCATTTATAGAGAGGGGAAATGACACTGTCCGTGTCTTCTATGTCACATTCTGAACATCATCAGATGGTCGAATCCAAATCATATCTATCTTAGCTTATGTCATTTTCAAACTGTTTAACTTTCTGAACAATTCAATAATAAGAATATTTGTTCTCTTTGAAGACTTTTAGCCATCCCTTTCAGCCCATGTGTACCCTCCCTTCCAAATAGCCTCTTCACCCAAAATTATTAGATACGATATTGAGTTACACTTGAGTAAGATCACCTAGAATTAATGTGTAAATCATTTCAGTTAAAGTGATTATACAGAGTATGACAGATCTATAGAAATAATACGAAGGCAACCTAGCCGGGACAAGGTGGGAAAAAGATATTGAACTTTAAACACTTAACTGTTCTGTTCGTACAAAAAATAATCTTCAAAGAGTAGAAAATATGTGAACTAAACATATTGTGCAGCGTCAGTTTACTGGATAATGTCATTTCAAACTTACGGTATGTATCATTATAACAAACATAAATACTTCAATGTGTGTAAAAGAGAGAGAATTTCACTATACCAAAGCTAACCATACGGAGGAATTCTAAACTAAAAAAGCAGTCATTGCCAGACCTTCGTTTCTGAATAATTATCTGTCAGAAATAATCTGCGAAATGGGAGGAGGTTTATACAATTTCTTCACCTTAATAAAGACCATGATGTGTTGTTATTGAAGGACTAACCCATTTGTGAGATATCAAATTTTGAAGAAGTGTAATAGGTTTGGTTTAATATAACGAGGTGATTTTAACCAGCGCGGGCCACTTACATTAGGTGTTACATATATATTAAGGGTAATAAACATCATTGAAATAGTCCATTATGACAAGACATTTTTAATTCCAGAAAATTTTTCCTTATTCATATCTGTTTGATGTGTCAGTTATTTGTAAGATATCGATCTTGTCGACGAAGAGCGTTTGGAATATGAAGATTGTATAAAAACAAACAAATGAAAACTTGAATTGTATTTACTTATTTCTTTGTAATATCTATACATTGAATTTAGCATTTGATGCATGTTATAATATCAAATATATTGATGTTTATGAGCAAGGATGTTCTTTCAAATTGCGTGAATGTATTAGTTCTGTGTAATTGAGTCGGTGTTTTACACCGCAGACTGATTTATATAACTGCAGTAAGTATATACTTATTTAATACATAAAGTACAACATATGATAATACTTATATTGATGTGTCGTCAGTAACTGACGACAACGGCATGGAAATATTTATGATAATAGTTTTATATTATCTATATTATCTTCTATCACTTATACAGCGACTCCTGATAAATGATAACTATAGCTTATCTCCATCTGTCCATTTTTGCTGCATATGTTTTAATGCACGTGTTTTACTCGCTGATGTAGATTATAAGAGAGTTTGCCCCCGTGGGTCAGATTCTCTCTTAGTTCTCACCTTCATCGCTGTGGAACCGTTATATCCATATTTAATTAGTTGATATTGTTTCAAACGATTTTGTGGTTACACATCTAGTGTAATCTATAGTTTCAGTAAGGTGATAACTTCCCGACACTTATTGACAGTTGTATTACCATTACCATCCATGCCTTTACAGTTTCTATGTTATCCTGAGTGGAAGTGCCTCCGTGTACATTGACCCGAGGATGACGGGGGAGGATGAAGGTGGTATCGTTAGGGAAAAGACTCCCCCTCCCAAGGTCGTCGAAAAACCCAAATCCGAGAACGGAGAAGAAGATGACCAAGAGGAAGAAACTAACGAGGAGGACGAAGAAGCGGAGAGAAAACGACTGGAACAACAGGAGCAGGAGAAAAAACTCGTGCCTCTTGACAGGAACAAGTTTGGCAAGTTCATCATGACATATGGTAAGATTTCATAATGGTAAAATATAGTACATTAGTTTTCCTTAGTCTCCATCGCAACATATTACGGTATATCGTAACGAAGGAAATGTTACTTAATAGGATATAGGAAAGCTAATGGTTCTTCTCTGTTCGAACCTACAGGGTAGTAGTGTTTTTTTTCATCATGAATCAAGGTACAAATATCGCCTGCTACAGTAGCAAGAAATAAGGGATAGTGGTTCATTACCTTTCTTCAATTTTGATGATGTTCTCAAATTGTTTCTATATGAAGATATAAAAACAATTCCTTCAAGTAATATTATTATCCAATGAAATGATTGCGTAAGGGCGATATATGTTTACAAATGTTACCTAGATCATTGATATTCTATCTGAGATCAATGTGCATGCGAACATCAGATTAGCTTAAATTAATGCAATGAAATAGATAAGGAATTAAATATTTATATCAGTGTAAGTGAATATAGATGTAATCGAAAATCTTACTGAATTGATGATTCATTAAGATTCACACTTCATGTGGTGAATTGATTTTGTAAGTAGCTCAATAACTCTGCACTGTTAAAATGCATTTAATTTATAATATTCCTGTAGTAAATGCTACCGTACGAATTCAGCAGGCTACCTTACATAAGAGGATTTTCCTTGTGTATTATCGTAAATGTCAAGGTCATATAATAGCTCAGGAAAAGATTGTTCTGTTTAGTATAGACTCATTAACACATTATTATTATTATTCTTGTTCAATCAGCATTATTGAAATTTTGAATTAATTGGTAAACTTTACGAAATTGGGAATTAATCCTTCAAGATTCTGAGGCTTACAGTAGACATACATTTATTAAGCTGATTCGGCATTAAGTTAAGTTTTGAGACCTTCCTTCAAATATTTTTAAAAGATACATTTTTTCTAATTACTAAACGTGTCATTCACTGCCAATTACCATACTGGACATACAACTAGAAAGAAGAAAACAGTCCGTTGTTGGAGACAAGAATTGAATCAGACATAAAGCAATATAAACACACCAGTAAATACAACACGATTAGAAAAAGGGGAAGCTGCCGAACGATTACATTATTACTATAAATGAGAAACAAAACCAGCTTCTCAAGCACTTGCTCCTACATTATTTATAGTGTTATATAATATATTAGTTATGAAAAACAATCAAAATTTCACCCTAAAAAGTAAACGTCGTATTACAATGTACATAGATTGTCGTTTATTGTACTAGTGTCTGTATATAGTATAGGGTCGTCCCATTAGCCGATTGATGCATATGTGATCATTACATAGCGCTGATTGTACAACATATTGACATATACAACAGAATAACATAGATATTAAATCTGAGATTAAGTTAAACGGTGTTCCAATACTAATTTTGTGAGGAAACGTCATCCTTTACGGAGAGCACGACATCCTCCGATTTAACAAGATTTTTATTGCACTCTTGCTTAGTAGTCTATTTGTGTATTATTTCTGCTAAAGCTGAGGAATCTATTTTGTAATATATATTATGTATATACACTATTAAAAGATTTTTAATATTGTGTTATTGTAAGAAGGCGTGAATTAAGACAGCGTCTTATTTCAATAGAAAGGGCTAAATTGAAATCATTGTGACCTTCATAAATATTCTGCTAAAAGTGATAGAAGTACCATGATGTTTATCACCCTTTAGATTTCACATATTATTACATGTTATTAAACCTTTTGTCCGAAATATCAGTATTTTGGCTTGAAGGTTTCTTCCTTTTGTAACTTACAGATAGATGAAGTGTACCGCGCAATGAAACCGACTATCTGAGAATTATGATATTTACTCTCTGATAAAGTTTTAAGATGAGATATAACCATTCAATTTTTAACTCATGTATTATAATCGTTTTTATTTTTTTCTGAATATAAAATGAATATTTCCTGTAAATATTTCAGAGCCTGGGAAAGCATTCGGTGAAGTGGCACTCGTAAAACGTGATGCTCTGAGGAATGCCTCCATCATAGCGGACGAGACGTGTGATCTGATGGTGATAGGCCAGGATTTGTACGAACGTTCCCTTAAAGTAAGTTTACCATCCATGTCGTTACATTTGTCACTGTGAGTATATATTATTGGGTAGCTTTTATCATCGAAATCGTGTGTTTTATTTTATGTTAAAATATGTTTATTCCAGGCTGACCAAGAAAAGGAGTTTGCTCAAATCACAGCGTTCATAGATTCCCATCCATTCTTCTCAAACATGTCTAGTAAATTCAAGAAGTTACTGGAGATGAGTCTACGGAAGGAAACGTACACATTTGACACTGTCATTATAAAGCAAGGAGAACCACTGATTGGCCTTCATTTCCTCATCAAGTAAGTGGCATGTAGAGATGCGAATGCTGAATGTTTTCACTTGTTAAACTTTTATACATTCTTCAAGATTGTAGTGACAAGATTTTGAAGTTGTCAACCGGTTGTTTTAATCTCTGCTAACCGATTGATTTTTTTGTTTATGTTGATTGTTCAAATTTTTGCGGTTCTACTTTAAACTTGAATCAAAATGGACATATTTGTCATGCAAGACATCTAAAGGACTATGAAATTACATTACATTTCATTTACAGTTGATCTATTTTTATCTTCGAATATACTTATAAACAGAACCCGCCAAAAATAAAACGTTTTACTAATATGACATTTAAATGACAAGTTTACTTAATAAATCATTTGTCGTTTTTACCTACAGGGGGCAAGCGAAGATAGTAGCCGAGCCTCACAAACATCCAAAGCAGTATCCACATCTATGGCCTTTCGAGGCTGGCATTGACATCATCTCGGTGGAATTTGCACATCTCAGGTAGATAACTACATTTTTACTTTTTTCCCATGTTGTTGGATTAGTAAGTCGGAGTGTACATTATTCAGTCGACAAGTGCGAGTCAATTTATATATTTTTCATTCCAATGTTCAAGGTAGATAATAACACTCTCGTTTGTGTCACATATCTCTTTTTTCGCATGGTTCATATTTTATACTTAAACACTGTTTTGTCTGGTATTTGATTGCATTGGTGGTAATCTCGAAGTCGGTAGCTAATGGAAATTCATGTGAAATGTCCATTACGAAATAAAATGTCTATACACAATCTTATTTTTATATTTTTCTTTGCAGTTGATATTGTTTGTTGTGAACCATCAGGTAACTACACGTTTCAGTTGAAGTATAAATACCGTTCTATAACAGGTGATTGTTTATATTTCCAGGGAAGCGAGGCGGGCTGCTATCCTTCGGAAATACGACGATCCTTCCGTTTGGGAGACTAAGACTGAGGATACGATCATCAGAAGGGAACAGGGTTATGCAGCTGTGGAAAAGTGGATGAAGGAGAAACACATAGAACTGTGTAGTGTGCAATCAGGGGAAGTCCTGGGAGACATAGAGACACTCATGAACTTTACTACGTATATGCAAACAGTAAAATGTACTGCCAACACGGAAGTGTACATACTTGATACAAAGAACTTCGAAAGACTAGTAGGCAAGCGAAATATAGCAACAATAGAAATCATGCGTGCCAAAGTGATAGAAAAACTCAAAACACGTGTGGATTCAAAACATGGCCATTTAGTGCCTCTTTTGAAATTTCTTCATTTCAAAATGAATGAGCAGAGTTTGCCTCCACCACGAGAATTACCGAAACTGAAAACTACAAAAGTGTTACCCGACAAAGATGTACAAAACTTGTTCTTGCTACAAGCATTTAAATCTGGGAAAGCTCCACTTGTCGAGCCTATAGTCCCTGGTACTCTGTACTACAAAGACCTGATGAAAGAAAAAGCGAAGTCGAGAGAAGAACAACGGAAAGCGGAAGGCAAGACAACTGTATCAGTTACATCCACGCTAAGGGCAAATAAACGCAACAAACCGAAGCGGCAGCCACGAAGTTTGATGGCAATTCGGGAATCTCTTCGGCAAATGATGGAAGCCGATGTTATCCAAGTAGACAATAAGACCGCTCGAAAAAAACTTGGATCCAAATATGGGTCGACCGTCTCTCTAGCACCTTCTAACCAATCACAGCAATTGTTTCCACCTGTCGTACCACCAATGGATTCTAAACCAAAGCTAGACAATGCAAAGAACTTTATGACAATGTTAAGCTCTAAATCTCAAGAAAATGAAAATCCAGTCCGAGAGGTGGATATTACCCCACGTGATCAAGAACAAAAGAAAGTTTCCCCGAGGAAACAAAAACCAGTGCTTATAACAGAAACTGTCACCCCTAAACGTGACGCCGACCTGCCAATGATTACGGAAGAGCGAACACAAGAAGAGATCGTGTTGCAAAAGAAACCAACAGGAAAGTATGATAAAAATGAGGATACTTTGGATGGTAGAGTGGCTTTACCAGCCATAAAAGTTACATCATCTGATAAGAAACAACCCCGTGTCAAACCACAACAAAGTGCTAATTCTGAAGACATAGTTTTCCCAAACAATATAACAGGTGAGCGGGTGGTCCTTCCACCTATCGAAGGAACGGATGACAACACTCCCCCTGGTCGGAAGGGAAAGTGGGGCAGCGCAATGAAATTTGTAAACACAGAAATACAGGAACGATTGGCCAATGAAATGGAGAATGGTACTTATCAACAGGAAGTCGACATCGATTTCCACAATAAAGCTATGGTCATGCTTGAAAACAAGATCGAATCTTTCAACGTTCAACATGGTGGGCCCGCAAAGGGTCTGCCAAAATTAGCGCGATTCAATGTCGAAGTAAGTATTACCATTATCAAGTAATTTGTCTTCGGGAAACAAGGGTTATTACGAAATATTATCCCAGCAATTTTCAAGCGATAAGCATATTGAGTTTTGCAGATGCGCTAATTCTCAATTTTCACTCAAAAGTTGGGATGAGTTATCGCTGATAATACAAACACTTATTTTAAAGACCGAAGTATCAGTGCCCTACGTCTTATTTATCGTCCGCTTACTATCGACTGAAATTTAGTATCATTTAACAATTTGCAGTTGCAAAGTATCATACTGTAAGCTATATAGGTGACCCAGTACCACGCGCTCAAAAGAGACTGAAATGTATCGCCCAGTTTTACTATTAGATGATTCAAGCATTATCAATAAAAGGCCCATTTTGATAGAATTAGAGTACAAACAAGTGGGGAATAGCCTACTTATAAAAGAAGGAAGGAAGTTATTATACGATCGACCTTGTTACACTGACTTGATAACATGATATTTAGCTTTCGAATCCCATAATGCTTTGCTCATAGCACATGTTATGATGAAAATAACATGACCGAAAGAAAACGCGCGTAGAGGAAACATACGACGGAATCCGCCACAAAGGAGAAAAAAATTTAGAATTGAATCGGCAATACCAATTAATTTTGTTTAATATAATAGTACCTTATGTCTACTGTGCATATTTATATTTTTAATCAAACATATCGGACTCCTTTGCGGGGTCCTCGTTTTGTTGATGCAGCCTCGTTTTCGATAATTTGTCGGTCGGCGGCGATGGTTTTATATTTGTAATATGTTCAGGTTTTACGTCTTTTCTGTACATTTGCTGTGGAATATAATATGTTAGTCATAATCTATTGACAAATAACGTTAACTTTTCTAGTTGATTAATATGCTTCTATAACAAGGCTTGAAATCGTTAGGATCATGGATAATTAAATTATATACTTAACCGTGTTAGTGTCATCACATTAACATTGTTTTCATAAGATACTGATATACGTCATGTTTACTTATATACTTGTAATATTATTTTGCTGTAGACCCGGAGATATCGACGACGTCAGGTATTAATAATAGTATTGTTTACCTGTAGTATTTTTATATCCTTTATATATTCCTTCTGTATGTACTTGCTATACATATCTACCTGTCACTAGGGTTCTCGTGTCCATGCAGATATTATCTGATCTAAGGTATTAGAATGTCCCCAAATTCATTGATGAAGTATCTCCTCTTCACACAAATCTACAGCCATATATATATATATTGTACTCGTTTAGAATTAACTTGTATTGTCATCATATACGTTCTCTAGAGTTATCGCCCTTTACTTTCCACCAACTGATTGGATCAATTTCAGCGATGTCTTTGATTCCAGTGAAGTCTGAATCTTTCTATCCTTCTTTCAAAACAGGGAGGATCTGTCTTCTTTTGGTTTGTTAGTTTAAACATTAATCATATACTCCTTAGCTGTACTCACTGTCATCAGTTGAATACCTCACCCTCTAGACTAGTCTACGCTTCCACAGTCAATGCTACAGTCAGTTGTTTAGTAAAGATGTCATGTTTGACTGCGATTGCTCTAGTTAAAAATACACGATAAAATGCCAATATAGTTTATCACAGGGAAAATGCTTACAAAACACGTCATTATTAGACAGCTTCATTAACAAATAAAAACATACGATTGGTCAGGACAAGGTTTACATACACAGTTTAAGCATGTGCACTCGTTAGCTATATCTAATAGTATTTATGGTGTGTTTTCAATTAGAGATAATCCATATTAATTGCACATGCTTTTTAGTATATATCATTATCAGATTTATATATACTTCTTGAAAGGTTTAAAAGTCTGCGCCACTATCTGTATAATGTAGTTCTGAAACAATTTTACTAATCTCAAATTCTCTAATACTTGATGTCCTATTAAATTTATTTCTATCGTCAGTGTATGCGTATATTATATTTACATAGTAGAGCAAATCCTCGTACAAAAACATTTTTGATATATATGTCATATGAATACATTTCAGACGTAATTGTAACAAATAAGTAATGGTAGATAATAATGCAGCATTGTAAACTTAAACTGTGTTACAGGAGGACGAAATTAACACTCCAAAGCCTGGCGGGAAAGTTTGGATCCGGAAGCGCATGTGCAGGTTTGCTGATAATAAAGTACAGGTCAAGGACCACCAGCACGTGCGGCACTACATTGTTAACGACCTCCCTCAGTTTGATCAGGTTGGCAAAACAAAAGATGTGATGAGGCTACTGATGCCTGCATCTAAACACTGATAATTGTATAAGTTGTATCCATGATATGTAGATATAGGTACACATTTAATCTGATCTGCCAAAAAACCTCTTTACATTTTTACATTTACATCTTTATTCTAAACTATTCACCTATATTCTTCTCATATTTGTTATTGTACTTATAATTTTAAATTGTTGGAAACAGAATATTGTTTAAACCTAAGCGTCCTTACATACTCTATGTACTTACACAAACGAATAACTCCAATTACCAATCCATTTTTTCTCAAAATAATGTTCAAGCTTCATCTATTTCACATAAAAGTTGGTTTGATTATCTACCTGTTAAATAACGTTTTATTGATATTTGTATAACAAATTAGTGTATAAACAAACACGGACTAATCTTACATACGACTATAGGTAATGATTTCAGGTACTGAATTGTTTTTAATTGCAGTTAATTTATCTAAGTTGATCACACAGGGTAGGCTGAATTGCTTTTAATTGCAGTTAATTTATCTACGTTGATCACGCAGGGTAGGCTGAATTGTTTTTAATTGCTATTAATTTATCTACGTTGATCACGCAGGGTAGGCTGAATTGCTTTTAATTGCAGTTAATTTATCTAAGTTGATCACGCAGGGTAGGCTGAATTGCTTTTAATTGCAGTTAATTTATCTACGTTGATCACGCAGTGTAGGCTGAATTGCTTTTAATTGCAGTTAATTTATCTAAGTTGATCACGCAGGGTAGGCTGAATTGTTTTTAATTGCAGTTAATTTATCTAAGTTGATCACGCAGGGTAGGCTGAATTGTTTTTAATTGCAGTTAATTTATCGAAGTTGAACACGCAGGGTAGGCTGAATTGTTTTTAATTGCAGTTAATTTATCTAAGTTGATCACGCAGGGTAGGCTGAATTGTTTTTAATTGCAGTTAATTTATCTAAGTCGATCACGCAGGGTAGGCGGAATTGTTTTTAATTGCAGTTAATTTATCTAAGTCGATCACGCAGGGTAGGCTGAATTGTTTTTAATTGCAGTTAATTTATCTAAGTTGATCACGCAGGGTAGGCTGAATTGTTTTTAATTGCAGTTAATTTATCTAAGTTGATCACGCAGGGTAGGCTGAATTGTTTTTAATTGCAGTTAATTTATCTACGTTCATCACGCAGGGTAGGCTGAATTGTTTTTAATTGCAGTTAATTTATCTAAGTCGATCACGCAGGGTAGGCTGAATTGTTTTTAATTGCAGTTAATTTATCTAAGTTGATCACGCAGGGTAGGCTGAATTGTTTTTAATTGCAGTTAATTTATCTAAGTTGATCACGCAGGGTAGGCTGAATTGTTTTTAATTGCTGTTAATTTATCTACGTTCATCACGCAGGGTAGGCTGAATTGTTTTTAATTGCAGTTAATTTATCTAAGTTGATCACGCAGGGTAGGCTGAATTGCTTTGAATTGCAGTTAATTTATCTAAGTTGATCACGCAGGGTAGGCTGAATTGCTTTTAATTGCAGTTAATTTATCTAAGTTGATCACGCAGGGTAGGCTGAATTGCTTTTAATTGCAGTTAATTTATCTAAGTTGATCACGCAGGGTAGGCTGAATTGTTTTTAATTGCAGTTAATTTATCTAAGTTGATCACGCAGGGTAGGCTGAATTGTTTTTAATTGCTGTTAATTTATCTACGTTCATCACGCAGGGTAGGCTGAATTGTTTTTAATTGCAGTTAATTTATCTAAGTTGATCACGCAGGGTAGGCTGAATTGCTTTTAATTGCAGTTAATTTATCTAAGTTGATCACGCAGGGTAGGCTGAATTGCTTTTAATTGCAGTTAATTTATCTAAGTTGATCACGCAGGGTAGGCTGAATTGCTTTTAATTGCAGTTAATTTATCTAAGTTGATCACGCAGGGTAGGCTGAATTGCTTTTAATTGCAGTTAATTTATCTAAGTTGATCACGCAGGGTAGGCTGAATTGCTTTTAATTGCAGTTAATTTATCTAAGTTGATCACGCAGGGTAGGCTGAATTGCTTTTAATTGCAGTTAATTTATCTAAGTTGATCACGCAGGGTAGGCTGAATTGCTTTTAATTGCAGTTAATTTATCTAAGTTGATCACGCAGGGTAGGCTGAATTGCTTTTAATTGCAGTTAATTTATCTAAGTTGATCACGCAGGGTAGGCTGAATTGTTTTTAATTGCAGTTAATTTATCTAAGTTGATCACACAGGGTAGGCTGAATTTTTCAAAACCCAAATCCAGTGCTTCTGATTGATAATGATAGAATAAAAAAGTCCAAAGTTATCAAGTTAATTGTTTAGAGGTATAAAAAGAGCAACACTTTTATCAAAGCTGAGTGAGCTCACATAAATAAAAAATCTGACATCAATAAGATGTCAATGATGGATATTCGAGTTAGTTAACTGCACAGAGGAGATACATAACACGTGGTATCTTAAGAGACAGAATCCTTGGATCTCAAAAACATATCAATGAAATATCAACAGAGACAATAAATCACTTGCATTATGTCTGAATCTAATACCATGATCTGTAGATGACTTTTACTAAGAAGGATTTTGTAATTTTGAAAAATGAAATATGATGTTGATACAAACCTAATATATATGCAATATTTCAGGTAACACACAAATCCGAGGATGAGTATGATAGTTATAGCTTGTTATCACAGGTAAAAACCTGATTTTGCTTGGAACCTCATCCTTCCCTCCTAATGCTCCTGCGATGTCACAATACTTTTCACGTGGATGTCAAGGTTCCTTTTGAACATCTGTGAGCACGTTCATGGCCACATGTTTTCATACAATTGATATACATCTATGTAATATAATTATATAACATGGCCAATTTATTTTGCTTTCCGACATATAACAAATTTTCCATGCGAGACTTTCCTTCATTTTACTAATTGTTACTACTGATTCCATTGTTTATCATTCATATTCAATGAAATCTTTTGATTTAATGGAATTTCAATTCAGACAGACACAAAATTGAAAAAGTGGCGAACCATTTTTTTTCCAACGAAAACATACTCTAATTTAAAACTAGCTTTGAATGGAAAAGATTGAAAACCATTTGACGAAGTGTTGTGCGTAGAGCTAGGACGTTTTATACCTGTAGATGTCCTATAGTTTTGATATATTATCAATCCCATCTATATAGCGTAACTAAATGATTATAAACAAACTATGTATAGCGATGTAGATATTTGGCTAGCCTTTTAATAAAAAAATCGGTTATATCAAAGTGAGTGTGTTGGTATTTTAGCAGATGAAATTAACTAAACATGGGTTTAATTACAGTTAACAAAACATTTTATGCGATAGATTCTAACGAGTCATTATTGAGAACTATTTCTATCTATTTTGTTTATGTCGAAGATTATAAACAATGAATTTCGGCGATCAGTGTGTGATTTACTTTCATCATTTTAGATAAGGCTTTAGATATCTATAACTTGATGTTCTATTTATACAAATATATCTCACTATGCACTTTTAAAACTGATTAATATTTCATTACATTATCAGTGTTTAATGCGAAATTGATTCACTGGCGAAAATTTATATTTATAGAAAACATACGTTGTTTCCTTTTGTAATCAATGTATATTTCTCTCGTTGTTAACTGTTTTTATGAAATACTGGTGTTATGTTATAGGGGTTTAATCAAATCAAGTATTAAATTTCCAATCCATTTTGCTTCCTGTTTATAATCATTTCTCGAGAAAAGTGACCAATTAAGAATTATAGGATTTATGTATCCTTTTCATTATCCGTACCTGTATTTTTCACAACGATACATATAACAAACATTTGGTATATATTCTATGCAATCCGTTCAGGGAATTGTCAGACAACTTTTTATTCACATCAGTGTCCTGTCTGTTGAACAATGTGCTAAACGTCCAATTCGTGAAAGATCGTGTTCCCAAAATTCCAATGATGAATACATGTTTATTGCATTTTGATGTGAAAGTGTCCTTAATATTCTTTGCGGATGAAATATAGATTTGTCAGCTCTGTTTCCGGTGACAGTGGGTATATTGTAAAGTTTATGCCATTACAGGGTATGATTCCTGAAAATTTCTATTTATTTTTGTCTAAAACTTTCATTAATTTGATAACCATAATCTAGTTTGCACCTGTGATTGTGATTTCTACAGAAATCTATCTCTGATACTAATTCGTTCGTAATGATTTTAGAAAGTTTTCTGGAAATGTTATGTTTATTGATATATATCTATATAACAGCTATCCTAATTGATTTACACTTAGAATTACTGAACAATCGTAGAAATTGCATTTTATGGATATTAAATATAAGAGATGATTTCATTTGATAAAGCTCAATGAAGACCACAAGATAACAAAACAATAAATACATTTGTATTTTAAGGATAGTTCTGAAAATGTTCACTGTGCTGGTTAGTTTGACAAGTTTATTCTACACGGCAGTTTTTACCATTTTTGTGTTATACGGGATACTTTTGACGCTGACTTTGCCCTTGCGTTTTGTTTTACAGTGATGCAGAATTAACATCTGGAATACTAAGAGCAAAAACGTAAATCCAATGCATAATATCTATTCACCCAAATAGGCAGCAGAAACAAGTCAACTTTTGTCAACATATTTCGTGTTTATATCACATTAAGCCTCGTTCAGCTACTGTATACTACAGAAACACTTTATCATAATCCTATTGATAGTGTGAATAATTTTGTCACTGATCAAAGCGAGTCAAACCCGACTTCCTCTTCGCATTATATATATGTTTCAATCTTAAATGAAAAACTACTTTCTATTAATGGATGTTTGATAAAAATAATGAGGAAGGTATTATTAATATATAGGTTTGTAACTATATTTGATAAGATAGGATCTTCATTAAAACGTACAATACATGTTTACTGTCCGAGTACTGTGATGAACAGCTATCTGTGATATTAGAACACTGTATATAATGATGTTTTGTTATTATTGTGTAACGTAATGGAATATTTTATACATTTGTTAACAAACATTAAGTAACCGTGTTAATTGATATGACTAGTCTTTAATATATTGTTTAACACAATAAACAATAACTGATAACAAATTAAAACTTGTCGTTTTTTATTAATTTACATGTAGTATTTTCTTCTTTTTTTGTGTTTGTGTATGGAGGTTGTTTGGGGGATGTGTGTGTGGAGGGTGGGGGGGAGGGGTGTTTAGGGTATGTGTGTAGGTGAGGGTGTGTGGGAGGGTTGGCGTGTTAGGGGATGTGTGTAGGGTGAGAGTGTCTGGAAGGCTAGTTGTGTTTGGGGGTATGTGTGTAGGGTGAGGGTGTGTTGGAGGCTGGGTGTGTTTGGGTTTGTGTGTATAGGGTGAGGGTGTGTTTGGGTGTGTGTGTAGATGAGGGTGTGTAGGGTCAGGGTGTGTTTTGGGATGTGTGTAGGCGAGGGTGTGTTGGGGGTTGGGTAGTTTGGGTTTGTGAGTGTAGGGTGAGGGTGTGTTTGGGTGTGTGCGTAGATTAGGGTGTGTGGGAGTCTGGGTATGTTTGGGGGGATGTGTGTAGGTGAGGATGTGTGGGAGGCTGGGTGTGTTTGGATGTGTGTGTAGGGTGAGGGTGTGTTTGGATGTGTGTGTTGGGTGAGGCTGTGTTTGGGGGATGTACGTAGATGAGGCTGTGTGGGAGGCTGGGTGTGTTTGGATGTGTGTGTAGGGTGAGGGTGTGTTTGGGTATGTGTGTAGATGAGGGTGTGTGGGAATCTGGGTGTGTTTGGGGGGATGTGTGTAGGTGAGGGTGTGTGTAAGGGTTGGTGTGTTTTTCATTGTTGAAATGACTTCGTTACATATCCATACAACTGTTAGTGGTATGCCAACACAAATGTTTTATCTTTTTACGTGTTTACCGTTTCGACTTAGCAACGCATGATAATCGAAATCCATTTGTAAACTAAATTGACTCCGACGTAGCGTCAAGGTTCTATTTTATCAAAGCCATATGGAGTGACGGAAATGTTAAACAACAATACTTGTAAATGTTCTTGTCACCGGTTTGTTTCAATTGGAGGCCAATCCACAAGCTGTATGAGAATGTTAAAGACTATCAAAATGCAGTAAGGAGGAAGTGGTCAAGGGAGGTAATTCAAAGAAGCAACCAAGGGTTTAGAATAGCAGATTTTAGTGGGACGTGTCGATGGCAACACTGTCAACTTTATTCGTTATCCGACAAATGACCAGTGTACCCTATGAATCACACTGCATTGTGCAATCGTTTAGTCCTTTAAAAACTTGTCAGTGATGCTAAGGGCCTGCATTTTGAAACTTAGGAAAGATGCCGATGGTAGAGGAATCGAAAGGATAAATTCTGATGCCTATGTATTACAAAGTTAAATAATTTTAAAAATATGACCTATTGAAATGTTTATGAATTACTTTTACAAGATACAAAATGTTTGTTATTTTGAATATTTCCAAATAATATTCATTCCATTCGTTGGTGATGCTACATCAGTATAGTACAGGTTATACTATTACATTATATAAACAAGGTTTCAGTTTTAAGTGACATGTATTTATCCAATAACGCCTTGGTTTTTCTTTGATCTTTTCCTGGTGATAAATCCCATACCATGCGATATTTCAGATATCACATATGTGATTTCTAAAATATCGCATGGTTCTCCCTGATTGGTCCACACCTCATTAGGGAGGTGGTGCCCATTTCCAAGTGGGCGAGACAGATAAACAAATACGTAGGAAAGATTTCGAACAAATCTTTAATACATGAAAAAAAATATTAGAAAAACATGAGAGATTTTGTTAAATTGATATTCGTCGTTTTGACACATTCAAACAGTTCTGTAAAAAAAAGTACAACGCGTTACTTACGTCAGAACAGAGATTAGCACATGAACACTGTATAGCCCTACATTGAATAAATTCATACTTGTCGACGGCCTGTGATAATGTTATATCATCGAGATAACACCGGAGTCAATGCTTCTAAAGTCTTTCCATACGATGTCCAGCTCCGACATCTCTGACATCTACTAATGAAATGAATTATTACTGTGACAGAAAATGGGATGGGTAAGAAAATAGCGGGAAAATCATAGACTTGACACTTGACGCTAATAGATTATAGCTCCGCCCCTTGGCACGTGGATGAGAAAACCTCGGTGGTCATTGGATAAAATAGATACATAATTGACACTCGTAATGTATCGGATATATCACACTCGTCCGATATAACCGATACATTACCCGTGCCCATTATGTATCTATTACATATCTACTTTGTTGCTGTTAGCGTTATCCTAGTTTTATGCCTTTTCCTGGTGGTGACTCCCTAAGATACCTATAAATATATGAACCAGACTGAGGTGGGGGAAATTTGAATATATTAAACGTATTGACAAAAACCCTGATATGATGTTCCTTAACTTTCACACCTCTTCACCCGGCTCAAGTCCAAAGTTTGACGTCGGACAAAACTCTGGTGGCTTCCCTGACAACTGTTTTGAATGCCATAGATCAACGTAAAATCATCATTTGCGCGTTTCGAAAGGTTATGTGACAAGATTTTATCAGTGTTTACTGATATCACAATATCAACAAGTATCCCAACAACATTACGGTAATTAAAAAGTGAAAGTACAAAATGTAACAAGACGGTTGGTGACTCAAAATTAATCTTCTGCAATATATAACATCTAGTTCCAAGATAATATTACAAATAACAAAGCGGAATTACAATGAAACACTTTATTATTGGACACAAATGTAATTTTCAAGGATCGTTAACTGGTATAAGCCATTTACAGAGGTATTACTGGGGTACCGCAATGCACTCTGGGAGATATCGGAAGTAGACGTCTCCATTCGAGCTCTCCAGGAGCACTAACTTACACCCTGAGTGATGCCGGTGCATATGAACCAAAAAGGTTACTGGGGTACCGCAATGCACTCTGGGAGATATCGGAAGTAGACGTCTCCATTCGAGCTCTCCAGGAGCTAACTTACACTCTGAGTGATGCCGGTGCAGATGAACCAAAAAGGTTACTGGGGTACCGCAATGCACTCTGGGAGATATCGGAAGTAGACGTCTCCATTCGAGCTCTCCAGGAGCAAGTCTACTAACTTACACTCTGAGTGATGCCGGTGCAGATGAACCAAAAAGGTTACTGGGGTACCGCAATGCACTCTGGGAGATATCGGAAGTAGACGTCTCCATTCGAGCTCTCCAGGAGCACTAGCTTACACTCTGAGTGATGCCGGTGCAGATGAACCAAAAATGTTACTGGGGTACCGCAATGCACTCTGGGAGATATCGGAAGTAGGCGTCTCCATTCGAGCTCTCCAGGAGCTAACTTACACTCTGAGTGATGCCGGTGCAGATGAACCAAAAAGGTTACTGGGGTACCGCAATGCACTCTGGGAGATATCGGAAGTAGACGTCTCCATTCGAGCTCTCCAGGAGCAAGTCTACTAACTTACACTCTGAGTGATGCCGGTGCAGATGAACCAAAAAGGTTACTGGGGTACCGCAATGCACTCTGGGAGATATCGGAAGTAGACGTCTCCATTCGAGTTCTCCAGGAGCACTAGCTTACACTCTGAGTGATGCCGGTGCAGATGAACCAAAAAGGTTACTGGGGTACCGCAATGCACTCTGGGAGATATCGGAAGTCGACGTCTCCATTCGAGCTCTCCAGGAGCACTAGCTTACACTCTGAGTGATGCCGGTGCAGATGAACCAAAAAGGTTACTGGGGTACCGCAATGCACTCTGGGAGATATCGGAAGTAGACGTCTCCATTCGAGCTCTCCAGGAGCACTAACTTATACTCTGAGTGATGCCGGTGCAGAAGAACCAAAAAGGTTACTGGGGTACCGCAATGCACTCTGGGAGATATCGGAAGTAGACGTCTCCATTCGTGCTCTCCAGGAGCACTAACTTACACTGTGAGTGATGCCGGTGCAGAAGAACCAAAAAGGTTACTGGGGTACCGCAATGCACTCTGGGAGATATCGGAAGTAGACGTCTCCATTCGAGCTCTCCAGGAGCACTCACTTACACTGTGAGTGATGCCGGTGCAGAAGAACCAAAAAGGTTACTGGGGTACCGCAATGCACTCTGGGAGATATCGGAAGTAGACGTCTCCATTCGAGCTCTCCAGGAGCACTCACTTACACTCTGAGTGATGCCGGTGCAGATGAACCAAAAAGGAAACTGGTTCATTTACTGAATTCACATAAAAACAAAATTCTGAAGCGAGCTTCCAAAATATATCCCAGGTATACAAAATGCAAATAATATTGACCTTGCGGCGAAAACAAAGTTCGCCTTTACCTATTTCTTTTACGTTCTTGTTTTATCCTCCAATTTCTCATCTTTGTTGGTTACTCCGTCACAAATTCAATCAATTTGTCTCGTTAATGGAAATTTGATTCATGATTCACGGACAGCATTGTCTCTGCTGTATCCAAATATAGGTAGTTAGAGAAAAGTACGAATTCCTTCTACAGAATGAAGATTAATGGGAAGCAACTCTTCCTTGACAAGTAGGTTGGACAATCCGGTGAAGTTGTACGCTAAACCATTAATCTGTGACTGATAGTACACCTGGTTTATACACGATATACCGACAGGTATCAATACGTTTTATCTGTCTGGTCTAAATAGGATCATGGAAATTAGATTACACAACCTACAGCCAGGGTAGATATAACAACAATGATAACACAGAGATGTGCTATATCCTGAGATCCACAACACAATGAAATCAATATTTTACCTGAGTTTGACTGTTTCTACACTATTAGTGATATCGAGTAAGAAGCTACACATCCCGGTCACATGTCAGAAGATTTCCCCTTGTGTCTGTAAGGACGAAACCGGTAAATATGTCGACCTCCGGCCTTTAGCGAAGAAAGATGGAACACCTAAGTAAGTACTGAGGATTTTCACATAAGGCTAAAGTTATGTATACAGTGAAATTATGAAATTATGCACCCATGCTTTATTTCTTTGAAAATAACAATTTTTTCTCCTGTTGTGAAATTTATCAAATTACCTCCCATTGTAAAAATATCAACATCTCTATCTTAAAAACTGTCATCAATTTAATATTCTACTAGATTATACAAAATACAAGTGAATAGCAAAATAGTGTTAGATACAGTAGAGACAAACAATGAATGAATGTCACATAACACAGCTGTTTCGTCCTTCTAGGACTCGTCTGTGATGTCACATCAGACAGCTGTTTCGTCCTCTAGGACTTGTCAGTGATGCTAAGGGCCTACATGTTGAAACTTAGGAGATGGACGACAGAAGGAATTACATTGTAATTGAAAGAAATGTGAACACTTATATGGGGAGGTGCAGTAATCCAAAATTAGTTAAATTTCGTTTTTTTATAATTATCTTTTAACAACATAAATACACAACAAGTACGTGTATATATTCATCACGCGCGAACCCTAACATCGCTGACGAGTCCTAGATGGTATGAACAACAATTTAATCTAATTCTTGGCAATGATGTATTTTAAAAAAAATGTCATTAAGTATTCAAGGAATCACGTGACTTTGTTGATTAAACATTTATATGAAGAATAAAAGCCTCTACTGGTGTATATCGTAACCAAATGACCCCATTTAACAAATGAGATTTTTTTTATAAATGATGGCTGTGTGATTTATACTATGTATTGTTGTTGCAGCCAAACTGACTAAAGATAGGTCACGTTTTATAATACTGACTACAGATAGGTCACGTTTTATAATACTGACTACAGATAGGTCACGTTTTATAACAATTTACAGTGGCGTAGCAAATGTTTTTTAAGAGTGTATGCTTTCAAGAGGAAGCCCAGGGGTAAAGCTCCAATGGGTGTGTGCGTGGTGGGTGTGAAGGGAGAGCCCCCTGGAGCCGTCGGGTTTTAGCTTATCAGAAATATCTATTCTAATTACATCAACGCATTTTTTATTCAACAAAAACAACAAAATGCAGTAATTATTTTTGCTAAAAATACATAATCTCTGTTTCATCAACTATATGTCAAACTTAGATACAGTGTGCCAGTCTCTTGCCCGATTTCGCGTTAGCAAAGGTTTCCACTGCCCTGCAAATATCTACTTCCTGCTCTCTATGAATATTCAACGTTGACAGTGATGCTAATCTCTCCGTTGTCATTATCGACCGAAGGTAGGTCTTTACCCTCTTCATACTACTGAACGACCTTTCTGCAGTGGCAGTTGTCACAGGCATCGCCAGCAGAAGTGATAGTATGTTTGTAATATTTGGATATAGCTGAGGGTCAGTGTGATTTAGACAAGTGATGATGTCTGCTGGCCTTTCGTCAGTTGGCACCATTGACCATCGAATCTTTCAACGTTCGATTTCTTGCCGGAAAGTGTCAGGATCGGTCAGATCGGCATCGTAGGTGTTGGCATCGTATATTGTTTGAATCATTTCTGCATTAAGATGCGTATCAAGCTTTTCAGGAAGAAGGGCTTCACCTTTGAACCTGCCCTCACTGTCAACCAGTCTTATTTCCAGTTCGGTTATCAGGTGATCCAGGAAGGCAAGGTACAGTGTTACTTTCCAATAGTCCTTTGTGTTGTTCGCAACTGGATTAGCGCGTTGACGTTGTATTCCAGCCCTTCGTGGCGTTGATGGTGTAATATCAAACTCGGCGGCAATTGTAACTGCTTCATCATATAGTGCGTCCCAGACCGTATCATCTGCGCGTTCATTACGTAACAACTGGATGATAACTTTACTTTCTTTCAATGCCTGCAATAGATTGCACTTCGGTGTCTGGAGATGATTTGACAGAGACACAGTACTGCTTAGGATATGTTCTGCCACCACCAATCCGATAATGAATTCAAACCGCAGAATTGCACAGAGGCGGCCGCCAGCCTTGTCATCACCATCATCCTTTAGATGGTCAAGGCTGCTTACAACAACTGATAAGGATGCTTTGAACGTTTTGAGGGCATCTGCCCTGCTCGACCATCTAGGTTCGCAGAGAGTCCTTAATTTAGTCCTTTTTTCCATTTCGTGCCGTGCGATTTCGTTCGTAGCAAGATCGTTCTTGAATTGGAGAAGTCGTTTTGCAGAATAGTCGAAAGAAAACGCGACATCTTGGACAGTTGCCATCACATTCCGTACACAAGCCAAAGAGGAAGAATGTACGAGAGCTAAGTTCAATTGGTGAGACTTGCAATGAACGTAGGTCGCGTAAGGTGCTGTTTCTTCGATTATTGCTTGGACACCTCTGAACTTTCCCGACATGTTTGCAGCACCGTTATAGCCCTGGGCCCGAAGTTTGTTAATATCAAAGCCGTTCTGCTGCAACACGTCTAAAATGAGCACAGCGATGGTTTGGCCTTTCGTGTTTTCAGCTGTAACAAAACAGAGGAAGTCCTCTCGGACTGATACCAAAGGACCTTCATAGACAAGATATCTTATACAGATCGAGAGCTGTTCCTTTGTGGCGGTATCGGTACATTCGTCGGCTAAAACAGAAAAGTAGCGCGATCGTTGAATAGATTCTGATATTTTTCTGACTATCTGAGCAGCGCAAATATCAAGTAGTTCGTTTTGAATATCTGGAGATGTATATTCATATACTACATTCGGGTTCTTCAAGTGGTTTTCTAAAATGACGTCCCCTTTACTCAACATGGTCAAAATGGCTATGAAGTTACTCTTTTCCTCAGTATGACCACGAATGGCAATATTTTGTCTGCCACATAGTAACAGTACCTCGATAATACGGCCAATGATATGCCTGGTATTCTTAACATCACTTTTGTGTGACGATGAAAGTTTCGAAATGATTGAATCTTTATTGCCGGTAACAACATCCGTAAAATTTTCTGCACGTGTTTTGCAGTTATTGTGAATTTCGGAACACTCATGGCGTTTCACTAACATGGATAAGTTCACCCAGTCTGATACTCCTGGCTTTACGAAGAGACGAGTTTTATCAGCCTTATCTCCAAACAATAAACAACAAGCACAGAACACAGAGTCATCCGATACTGAGTCTCTGAAAGCCTTGTTCTAACGCATTTTGTAATAATTCGGCAAAATGTAATGTTGCAATTTGCGTTAAAGCAAACAATGCAAATTGTAATACAACGCATTATGTAATAATTCGGCAAAATGTAATGCGTTGTAACAAAGCCTTCTATACGTCTTCTTACTAAATAACACCAACTCAGAATTGGGAATAACTCCAAAACCAATTTACCACCGAGTATACCTGTCAGACATGTGACCAATCAACAATACACGTATTCATGTACATGTACTGTATTTGTGCAATTTATAGAGCTCTAAATATGCTACACGACAGTCGTCTGTACTACGTATACGTCATGTGCTCTTGTATATAGCAATGTTTTTTTTTTTATAAAATTGGTATTCTAATTTCAATGCTTTCGATATGCACTTTATTTCAAAATTCTCAGTGGGGACTAAATAGGGTCGGCAACATGCAATATGTACGTAAGCAATGTTTCATACCAGTTAATGTAAAAAATAACAGAACCAATACTTGTATTTACATTTATTGTCGCCATACGAATTTTCAAAAACTTCAATTTTGTCGAGTCTTACAATTACCATGACAAGATACAAGAACCTTTATTTAACGTCGTGTTTACAACAATATAACTTTAGTTCAGTAGAGCTATTCTTACGACGAAAGCTGGATTCATTTTTATTACGGAAAAAAAATATTATCCGTTCCTTGAATTCACCTTACATGACAGTATTACTCCCTTTCCGTTTATGTGGGTCCGGTCGGCAGGAGTGGTGAGTGATTGGGGCCGAGGGTTTGGTGTACTAATTTAGTGATTCATCGATGGAAAGCTAATCATGTTTTGAGTTCTTCTATCTTTTCCAAGTTTTATTTCCCCTTGTTGAAGAAAAAAATATTTCCGAGCATTGCATCCGCATTACAGTGCATGGATATATTTGCTACGCGATTTTCATGCTAATAGTTATTTTTTGCATTTAACTTAAACTGAGTCTGTGCGAATCACAAAGAATTGGTTTTAGAGACATACAAATAACAGTATATTAGGTATTGTTTAATAAAATCATCAACTTGTTTACCTGACTGGAAAATTGAATTTGTTAGCAGTATCCCACTTTGTCGCCAAAAGAGAACGGCGAACACTGTCATCCTTCAGTTCGTTTTCTGACATGACGTTGATATCAGAATAAGGAGGTTTATACTCGGAAGGCTGAGAGTTGTCTTGAGATGTGTCACTAGACATAATTTCAGAAAGGCTGGTCTTCTTGTTTTCACTTCCTAAATTGTCTTGTGATACCACAGATCCACATGTCCGGTTTACGTTAAAAAGTTCGTTAATTTTACGCTGTGCCATTTTTTAAGTTTAGCGGGTACAAACTATATAACCCGGAAATAGAATTGTTACAACAATAACCAGAACCAAATATATTGAAGGGCTAAATATTCCGTATCGTAATGTATATATATATAGATATACTGCATACGGTCGGAAAAGAAAAAATGATAGTTTGATGCTATATATATATATATATTTTTGTTTTTTCGTACTTTTATTTTAAACTTTTATTTTAACGTAAAAATAAAAGTAAGAAAAAATTTCTCAAGCGAATTTGAGTGTAAGCTCAAGCATACAAGCATACATTATTGCTACGCCACTGGCTACCATGAATATTTTGATGATGTAAGGAAAATTTACAATTTGAAATGACCATGATATAGTTGATATCATCAGCGTTACAAAACACGACGTCATCAGTGGAAGTTGATTAAGACAATTGAAATAAGGACTACGTTCTATAGATATATATTTACTTATAGAATAGATAACAGGTACAGAAGTCCGCACCAGGAGGTCTTACATACACATACTGTAGGCTTCATTTTAGTGTGTTGTATTTATAATAAAAAAAACTAATCGGTTTATATGATAATTCATGTTTACAATACATCTGATACAAAAAAATCAGACAGGGGAGATAACAACTGCAAGGACAACAACAAGTATTATAAAAAAATAAAGTACTACGGCATCAATAAAAAATAAGATAAAATGATGTTAATGAATGCTACGTGTTTACATTGTTTCCGATCTCTATAGATTTTTGGATCATCACACGGCTGGGACCGACAGTAACCTATACTCATTCAATCCCTGTTACGGCTTCAACGAAGGCAAGAAAAACAGCTCGTGTCAGAATGTAGCGGTATGTACAAGGCCGGGAACAGGTTGCCCGTATGTAAACAATTATCACGTGACTTTGGGATTTATATAGGAATAGTTACATAAGATCAAGGCTTGCATACAATGCCAACTATTACACACTAAAACTTGTTCATTCAAACCCTTGATATCCCAACATCTTGTTTTATACCCATACTTTATCCGAGATTCGTGTTGGGTAAAATGATTTCATATCAATCATGTTTTGGAAAATTTATTTGTACAGGCGTGCCAGGCGAACAAAGACAGGACACAGTTTATTGGAATAGGTGTACAGAGCACTGCACAATTTGGACACGGAGACAATGGGAACCTGTCGTTAACATTTGGATCATCTCTGGACCGTTATAGAATGTAACTACTGTTTATAATCTGTTATAGTAAAAGCGCGACGATTGTTTTTTTTTTTTTTTGGACCGTGCTGACAAAAATTTGACTTCTTTACAACGCGACTGTTGGTTTGTACTGTGATAACGAAGATTTTATTATTTTCAGCACGACTGTTGGTTTGTACTGTTATAACAAAGATTTTATTATTTTCAGCACGACTGTTGGTTTGTACTGTGATAACAAAGATTTTACTATTTTCAGCACGACTGTTGGTTTGTACTGTGATAACAAAGATTTTACTATTTTCAGCACGACTGTTGTTGTTTTGTACTGTGTTGACAAAGATTTTACTATTTTCAGCACGACTGTTGCTGTTTTGTACTGTGATGACAAAGATTTTACTATGTTCAGCACGACTGTTGGTTTGTACTGTGATAACAAAGATTTTACTATTTTCAGCACGACTGTTGTTGTTTTGTACTGTGATAACAAAGATTTTACAATTTTCAGCACGACTGTTGTTGTTTTGTACTGTGTTGACAAAGATTTTACTATTTTCAGCACGACTGTTGTTGTTTTGTACTGTATTGACAAAGATTTTACTATTTTCGGCACGACTGTTGGTTTGTACTGTGATAACATAGATTTTACTATTTTCAGCACGACTGTTGTTGTTTTGTACTGTGATAACAAAGATTTTACTATTTTCAGCACGACTGTTGGTTTGTACTGTGATAACAAAGATTTTACTATTTTCAGCACGACTGTTGTTGTTTTGTACTGTGATAACAAAGATTTTACTATTTTCAGCACGACTGTTGTTGTTTTGTACTGTGATAACAAAGATTTTACTATTTTCAGCACGACTGTTGGTTTGTACTGTGATAACAAAGATTTTACTATTTTCAGCACGACTGTTGTTGTTTTGTACTGTGATAACAAAGATTTTACTATTTTCAGCACGACTGTTGGTTTGTACTGTGATAACAAAGATTTTACTATTTTCAGCACGACTGTTGTTGTTTTGTACTGTGATAACAAAGATTTTACTATTTTCAGCACGACTGTTGTTGTTTTGTACTGTGCTGAAGATGTGGAGGACGGTTATTTCAGAGTTATAGGAGATATCGGTAACCATAATTACGTGAGTTCAAAACCCTGGATTATTGGATAATTACATAAAACCAAAGATATCTTACAATGAAGTATGAACCATATAGTAACATTTATTGGGGCTACAAGATATCTTTTAACCAAAATAAATATAGATACATTTAACATTTGTTGGGGCTACAAGATATATTTGACAAAGAAAAATATCTATTTCTTAGATCTCAACCAACACGATATTTGTTATGTTTACAAGGTTATTTATTTTCTAGTGGCTCCAACTGAGAAGTAAACACTGTTGTCCGAAGAATGAGAGTGAAATTGCTCACTTAGACGAACTTTTAGGAATCAATGGTTCCGGACCAGTGACCTACCTTCCTAGGTCTACCAATCACACCGTAACAATGATCACTCAGCCAGATAAGCTAACATCTAGTGACGTCATCATCGTCGTCCTCTTCTGCACACTGTAAGTTCATCTATATCCTATTACAGCCGATTGTGTGGGGAAATGGTTTATCTGATAAATAAACATGTTTACCTCATGGCAAAGAAAACATTTGACGTTGTTATGATGGGTTGATACTGGATGACGTGTTGTTGTGTATTCAGACTAAATTAATATGTTGATACTGGATGACGTGTGTTGTTGTGTATTCAGACTAAATTAATATGTTGATACTGGATGACGTGTTCTTGTGTATTCAGACTAAATTAATATGTTGATACTGGGTGACGTGTTGTTGTGTATTCAGGCTAAATTAATATGTTGATACTGGATGACGTGTTGTTGTGTATTCAGACTAAATTAATATGTTGATACTGGATGACGTGTTGTTGTGTATTCAGACTAAATTAATATGTTGATACTGGATGACGTGTTGTTGTGTATTCAGACTAAATTAATATGTTGATACTGGATGACGTGTTGTTGTGTATTCAGACTAAATTAATATGTTGATACTGGATGACGTGTTGTTGTGTATTCAGACTAAATTAATATGTTGATACTGGATGACGTGTTGTTGTGTATTCAGACTAAATTAATATGTTGATACTGGATGACGTGTTGTTGTGTATTCAGACTAAATTAATATGTTGATACTGGATGACGTGTTGTTGTGTATTCAGACTAAATTAATATGTTGATACTGGATGACGTGTTGTTGTGTATTCAGACTAAATTAATATGTTGATACTGGATGACGTGTGTTGTGTATTCAGACTAAATTCATGTGTTGGTACTGGATGACGTGTGTTGTGTATTCAGACTAAATTCATGTGTTGGTACTGGATGACGTGTTGTTGTGTATTCAGACTAAATTAATGTGTTGATATGCTTGTTATTAATCACCTTGTCGTGCGTTTAACCTCGTTAAATCTCATTAACAGTTGTAAACCTGTTAATAATATGCCATGTTATTATTTAAACCATTTAACTTTAATTCCGATTATGTTAATACCTTCTTTGATAAGTCAGCTATAGCGAAAGAATTCAATCTAGTTAAGCTGAAACGTTTACCTAGCTGACACAATCTATTGTCGTTGTACAACAGAACCAGATTTTAACCTAGTTAAGACTTGGAATTCTTTTAACCGAGTTTTGTTGTTACAGATTTGTCGCTATCCTGATCCTGGCGAGTCTGGCTGTAGCAGTACTGTACTACAGAACCAGATTTTAACCTAGTTAAGACTTGGAATTCTTTTAACTGAGTTTTGTTGTTACAGATTTGTCGCTATCCTGATCCTGGCGGGTCTGGCTGGAGCAGTGCTGTACTACAGAACCAGACACCCTATGTTTGGCAGAAATGTGTATTACCAGCCCGTGGTCAATGATGATGAGGATAACATCGTTCACTTTATTAACACGGGCATGGAAAAGGGAGATATGTTGAGGAATGACGTATACGGTCAAACGACGTGATAAATGACGCAATCGTCAATTATCCCACAGACAATAAAACAAAAACAAACAAAAAATGAAAAAAAAATAATAATAAATAAATGCAAGTTCTGATTTACATTGCCATCTTGATATTTATATTTCATTTATCAAAAATATAAGTAGTGTACTCCTATTTTTATCATACACATTTATTCTACAAGAACACAATGGTGTCAGATAGGCAACGTATAAGTGGCTAATTCTAAAATGGAGCTGGACACTTACTTAGATTGTTTTTTTTTTTATCTGATTCAGCTTGAGATAATAAACGAAACATGCGTAAACTTACAAAGGGAGGAACAACTTCAGTTATCATTGATCATGCTGTGTTTGTAATCATATTTTTCAATTTCTACTCAAGCTGGACTCAATGAAACCATCCTGTTTCATTTGTCGATGAAATTGGTCAGATAGACATCGATCTGGACGTATGAATACATCCTTTACATATTATGTTAGGGGAGAGAACTCTTACAAAGGTAATCAAATTTGCTCCAGATTTGCAGAATATTTAAGCATTGAATCTTGCGTTTGTCGAATCTATAGGTGATGGACTGAGTTTAAAAGTTTGATCAAAGTACTAAGAATGGATGTCAGTTACTTCAATCTACGTTTTAAATTACATGTACACTGTAGTTGACGTTATCTTTGTTGATAAGATGATGTTTATGACATAAAGACCAGGAACAACCTCTAGGACTATCAGGCCCCTTCTACGCTTTCTCTCGCTATGAATGATTGTTATCTCCTCTGTTTATTTATATTGTGCTGGAAACTTGGACATTTGAACTGAAATGACAACTTTATAATCACTTTTTCTCTAGGAGTAGTAGTAGGGTTGTAACCGGTTCGCCCTATCATCACTCAAAAACACGGGAAGCGCCTCGTTGTATGAACCCAATTTTACCAGATCTTAAATGTGGTCTCATGTAATCGCTGACGATGACGTCAATTGCGATAGAATTGAACAAAGTACACAATAAAGTATATATAAATATCCCTAATTGAATACTATATTCCACTGATTTCCAAGAAATGTCTTATAATATAACTAATGAAGGAAATTCTTGTCCAATCGAACTTGTCAGTCTGACTAGATAACATGTAAATTAGGCAGCTATATCTATCCTTAGGCTCCCATAATGCCTTGTGATATTTACGATAAAACAGTCCTATATTTTGGCACCCACGTGTTGTTGATGTAGCCTCGTTTTCGATACACGTCGTCACTTTCTTGAGATCATGCTACTTTAAGGAAAGTATTTTCATGGTCAGGTTGGACACCCGATCGAGAAAGCAGGAATGGACATCTGCGACAGCGAGCAATGCTTCTTCATGTGGTGGAACTGGAAGTTCGCCTATATGCATTCAACATTAACATTTGAAATGTGTCAAACCAATACATATTCCTCGAACATTTCAGTTGGCATATTAACTCTATGTGTAAAAGGATTAAGACAACACAGTAGTATAAATAGAGTTCCACATGTATAACGGCTATTCTATAGTTATTTCATTTCTTAAAACAATTCCTAGAAGTCACGTAGTACACACAACATTATTGGTAGCATTGATCCTCTCCAAGTACATTTCTTACTGAACGGTTGACAAGGATCACATATCAGCATTACTCAAACATCAACAAAAATATTAACATGTTAATAGAACCACAATCCAAAATCCAGACAATTCAATAAAACTAGAGCAAAGTACGAATAAAAGAAAGAATTACCCGGAGAACCCTGAAAAAGTAGACGGAAAATAAGACGAGATATTCCGGAAGTAATGTCACGTTCTCAGATGAGAACGAAAAGTAGACGGAAAATAAGACGAGATATTCCGGAAGTAATGTCACGTTCTCAAATGAGAACGAAAAGTAGACGGAAAATAAGACCAGATATTCCGGAAGTAATGTCACGTTCTCAAATGAGAACGAGGAAAACAACGACGAAACCAGAAGACAAAATAACGAGTGTGTAACTATAATATGTACCTTGTTGTGAAAAAGGAATCAAAGTGATGTAGTTTTAACAATTACATCAATAAAAATGCATTTAACTTTAAAGAAATAAACGTTCCGATGGTTCATATTCCACCAGTTTGATGTCCTTGTGTAAAGTAGCATCAGTTAATCGTTATCTGTTAATACCCACGTATAAACATCGCGTTAAACATTAACTGATATCTATCTATCAGCCTGTGGCTGATAATTCCCTATATATCACACATTTGTTGTATAAAGCTATTTAATTGTAACAAACATCAGATCGGTTACTATGGCACTGATACTAATACTTGTCCTGGGAAGTATTGGGGTCTCGCTGGCTCAGATCCCTATCACGTGTAAAAGGATTTCTCCGTGTATTTGTCGGGATCAGAACGGGCGATTTGTAGACCTCAGACCTTTGGCCAGAAACGACGGAACTGCCAGGTATAATATTACTGATACAATCTCCGTGTTGTCACATACACAACTAGATAACGATGTGAATGGTTATGGTCACCACATGGTGACTTGTTATGTATTTTTACAATCATATTGATACTTTATCAAATAGTGACAAGATGTAAACTACTGCATGATATTTTTCATATTAAAAGTACACACACACACAAACGAAAAACCACTATTCGCTTCAAATACGCCGATCACCACAATAAGTCTAGATACGAAAAATCATCACAGATTTCTCTATACTATATTGAACATATCTGATGTTATACCAAATTACTCATGCAACAAAATAAACTAGCTACTTCATATCGTCACATTCAATATACATACCTCAAAGACAACCAACAAGTTAAAACTACCATACCAGTGTTAAATAATTTACAGTATAACAAAACTCCATGTAAATAGTAAAGCATTCACTTAGTGTATTTTCTCTATCAGTAAGTCATCTTTTTTGTTCAGTCAGGGTGTTTTTGATTTATGAGAGAATTGGAGAAGAGAAAATCACTAAAATATCCAGCTTTTAAACAAAAAATAAAGATCAAACAAAGGTGGACGCCTAGATCCTGCTGTATCTCTTGTTGGTAACTACCTCCTAGTAATCTCTTGTTGGTAACTACCTCCTAGTAATCTCTTGTTGGTAACTACCTCCTAGTAATAGCGTTCGCTTTTGCGGAGGTTATACAAATACTATTCGAAATTAGGAAAATTAACGCTTAATGATATATGTAACACAGGAAATCAATTCGCACGGGTTGTCTAGATATCTCGTCTGGTATATGTACGTCTGTTGTTAATTAGATATCCTGACGTACCAATATATGGCGGAACTGAACCATCTAAAACCGTCTTCTCCTTCAATCCCTGCTATGGATTCAGTGAGGGACCTTCCGATAGCGCGTGTAAAGACGTGGCAGTAAGTTTAAACAGGATATGTTTAAGTCAATAAGTCAGGAAGAAGTTCATTTGTGAAATAATCGGACATGGTGTCGATTTAGTAAGATCATCTCACTTATACGACTTCCACAGAGAAACAATATCCACAGTTTTGGACATACATGTTACCGTCACGTGTACAAACAACGCAAAACCAGCCGAGCTAAACGCCCTCAAATAGAGAATACATTTCACAAAAATCCTAAAGTAATTAAGAACGTATTTAAAGAATTCATACTATATGATCAGCTTTTGAGTTTCGCACCAATCATCATCCGTCATAGATATAAAGTGAACATGGACTTTCACAGACAATATTGGAGAGCCAAGCTGAAGAAGTAGGGGGACTGTTAAAATAAAAACGGTACCACCTTTAATATCAGTTGAATACGCAGTTTGTCAGACATAATATACTTATTTATAATAAATTTATGTTTGATATATTATAATGTTAAATTTCAAAAAATAAAAGTAGTATAGCCAATTTTTAACCATTAATCTTGTGCTTCCAGTTTCAAACCCTGACTAGCACTCTAAGTTAAAATAGACTGTTATCCATATTTCAAACTCTTAATTTACATCCTTACCTACAATAGAATGGCTAAAATATGCACAAGTCATGTTATTCAAATACTTTCATTTTTCCTGACAGGTCTGTCAGAGCTTGAATGGAACATCAGACTTCCTCGATCTCGGAGATCAAAGATCAGCAAGATTCAGCCATTTTGACAATGGGAACTTGTCCATCGTTTACACTTCTAAAGACAAATTTCAGTGCGATTTAATCTTGATTGATAAAATACATGTTTTTTTCATTTTAAGATGTAATTTAATATCCTTATATTTTATGGTTGTTCAATATTTTGTGTTCTGTAATTTTGACGCTTTTCCGACAGGAGTTTGCTATATGACACAGCCCTCTGATTATCGTCCCTTGGAGGTACCCTCCAACTTGTAAATATATTAAGAGAAGACCTAGATCTTGCATTACGTCACATCCGAATGTTTACCTAATGGTCTAAATTATCTATTGTTGCCTTTTGTAGCTATACTGTACTTAGTCTGTACTGTGCGGAGGAAAAAGGAGATCGGGAGTTTTATGTACAAGGAGATCTGGGAAACAATATGACTGTAAGTCGGATGTTTATCTTAGATATAAAATAGTGTACAAAAAATATTTAAACCATTTTAATATTCGGTGTATTCTACTATTTTGATTCAGTGGAATGATTATTATACACTTGTTATCGGTAATGTTAAAATGACATAATATTTCAGTTAACATTGACCCCTGCTTGTGATGAATTGCAATATTGTGATACAGGTAATCTGGTAATATCTTAATCATTTTTCATTCATTAACTGCTCAACGTTCAAGAGCGTCACGAACTTGTAAAATAGTAAAATTATGTCATGTTTCATTTCATAAGACTTTTAATATTAGGGAAAAAATAAAAAGAAGCACACGAGAATAATATCTACCTGTCAACACCAATTAAAAACAGGGCAGTAAAGTCTTTTGAATTAAAATGCATTACACAGGCCGAAATTGTTGCAACCTAAGGGACTAGAGAAGATCTAAACTTAACCGAATAAATGACAAAAACCAGATGGAAAAGTCGTATTACACAAAAATTCCATCAGTTTTTTTTAATATATTTTGATATAGACGGCATGAAAGAACATCTAGTTCACACGTACTTCCTGAACCGTGCCTCTATTCGAATGGACAAAAACGTGGCAGGTTCAGGCAAAGTTCGAGAAAAAGTTCACTATTGTCTGCCACCTGTAATCCTAAACGTAGCACAAAATTTCGAGGAAAAGTTCAATAGTGAATCCACATCCCCGGTTACATTGTTATTATATATTATATTCCCCCTTTCGTCTACTAGTCACTGATAAGTCACATAAACATTAAAACAGCTGTATGACTAGTCACTGATAAGTCACATAAACATTAAAACAGCTGTATGACTAGTCACTGATAAGTCACATAAACATTAAAACAGCTGTATGACTAGTCACTGATAAGTCACATAAACATTAAAACAGCTGTATGACTAGTCACTGATACGTCACATAAACATTAAAACAGCTGTATGACTAGTCACCGATAAGTCACATAAACATTAAAACAGCTGTATGACTAGTCACCGATAAGTCACATAAACATTAAAACAGCTGTATGACTAGTCACCGATAAGTCACATAAACATTAAAACAGCTGTATGACTAGTCACCGATAAGTCACATAAACATTAAAACAGCTGTATGACTAGTCACCGATAAGTCACATAAACATTAAAACAGCTGTATGACTAGTCACCGATAAGTCACATAAACATTAAAACAGCTGTATGACTAGTCACTGATAAGTCACATAAACATTAAAACAGCTGTATGACTAGTCACTGATAAGTCACATAAACATTAAAACAGCTGTATGACTAGTCACTGATACGTCACATAAACATTAAAACAGCTGTATGACTAGTCACCGATAAGTCACATAAACATTAAAACAGCTGTATGACTAGTCACCGATAAGTCACATAAACATTAAAACAGCTGTATGACTAGTCACCGATAAGTCACATAAACATTAAAACAGCTGTATGACTAGTCACTGATAAGTCACATAAACATTAAAACAGCTGTATGACTAGTCACTGATACGTCACATAAACATTAAAACAGCTGTATGACTAGTCACTGATAAGTCACATAAACATTAAAACAGCTGTATGACTAGTCACTGATAAGTCACATAAACATTAAAACAGCTGTATGACTAGTCACTGATAAGTCACATAAACATTAAAACAGCTGTATGACTAGTCACTGATAAGTCACATAAACATTAAAACTGCTGTATGATGCGATTTCACTATTTATAAACTACATCGAATTATTAATTTGTATGAAAAGGTTTTATTCACGTTTTTGTTAATATTATTTTTTCTTGGGGGAAAGGGCAAAAGAAAACAGATATTTGACATTTATTTTTCCTACGATTTAACATTTAACTGTTAGATAGAAATTAGAAATACGTAAACAAAAATCGCTTTAGTACGTGTTTCTCTCGCAGTTTTCTATATCAATTCGTTTTGAATTTGTTACAACCTGGTGCAAAAATATCAATATTGACAAATGCTTAAATCCAAACAGATGTAAATTTTTACTTCACTTTTTTATTAACGTATAGCTACAACCTACTCAGACATTTTTAGAAATCAATAGTACAAGTATATAGAACCAGGGATAAAGCATGATGATAGAGAATAATACAATTTGTAAATCTGATGGCCTTGAAGAATTCGTTTACAATAATTGCTCTTTATATTTCACTAGTGGTTACAGCTGTGGACAAAATACGCATGCCCGAGAAATGAAAGTGAAATTGATAAATATGAGATTGGCAACACTATTTCGGAGACAACAGCCAAATCACAACCGGAAACGGAACTTTTCACTGCACCTCCGGCACCACATGTGGTGACAATGACAGCGCCTCCTTCGACAGTCAGCCTCATCGTCCTTCTCCTTCTCGCCATTCTGTAAGCTGATTAACATATGACACCTGTATAACGTTATCTGCCGCCTCCATATTTATATAACTATTAGACACGATAACCAGTCACGTCTTTCTCCTTTGTCTACAAAACTCAGTTTATAAGCACTGGAAATCCTCTATTTATAAACCTGTAGCGAAAAGGTATTTATGATTTTTGTCTTATATATGTAAGCATTTGAACATCACAAATATGTGCAATTTCTGTAAGGAAACCAGAACCGTAGACTGAAACGGAACAACCTGTGGTAATGTTGGTAAAATATGTATCAAAATATCATTTATTTTTTCTCATTTTTTACTTTTTTATATTCATCTAAAGTTTTCGTCTGATTTCAAATGTTACATTTCGGGTAAACATTCAGTCCTAGTGGATTTATCTTGGATAAATGTTCGACGAATAAGAATCGATCATAAACTCCTAAAATTATAACGACTCTAACATTTGGAAGTAGGAAGCAAATTAATTGTGAAAACATATTAATATTCTTATACTTAAAAGTATGTGATTCGTGAATCATATTCCAAACTCAAATTCAATAAAACTAAAGCAAAATTTGAACGAAAGAAAGAGTTAGACGGAGACTCCTGAAAAAAAGTGCAAGGATCAAGTGTTCTAGAAGAGTACGACGTGCCTTCTGCTAAAGAAATCACTTAGAAGATCAATTGTAACACAGTAATGTAATTTGGGTAGCCACATATTTTTACAGTATGTTTACCATAAATAATATGTATCCTTCATTCAGGGTGTGTGTTGCCTTGATACTTGCTGTACTGATGGGCTCTGTAATGATCCGCACAACGAGGAGGAGGTTGTTTAGGAACACTATTGTGTACCAGCCAGTGCCTACAGAACCCCAGGCCTATTACGATAAAAGTCTTGGTATCATTCTGTAAAGGAGTTTCAGTAGACTTTTAAGTACATACCGAATAAAATAAAAGATACACAAGTTTGTATGTTATTTGTATGTTTCAGTTACATTAATAAAGCATATATATGGATATCACGTGATTGATTTATAATCGTAGCTACAGGAGTTTATAGGTCAGGAATTTGGTTCAAGCGTTTTATCACAAAAAGTGAGCCAAACATTAAAAGAAAACTCCGACTGACTTGTTTCTCGACGTTCCGATAATTACACTTCCGGACATTATCGCCAAAACGATTTCTCACTCATTTTTCTTTCAGATATTTGCAATAATGTTAGAAAATTGACACTAAAATTTATTATTACATAGATGGTATGGACGAAATAACTAAGCATATGAAAGTACAGAAAAATATAATATAAGCCTGCTAGGTTTGAAAGTTTAGGCCCTTCGCATCACTAGCGTGTTAGGACATGTGGATAGTGATGTTTAATCCAGTATTTGGCTCTACTTGATCTAGTTCTGAATATATATTGAAAGATGTTATTTACTTGTGTATACTATCTTTGTCTCTATTCAGAAAAAACCTATATTATCTGTATTGACATGATAAACAGTAAGTTTTGTGAAAGTAATAAATATTATCTATATATCGTACAGTGCTGACCACAACCCTAGCGTCATAATGATCGTGAAAATATCGATCGATTTTTTTTATTTATATTGCTAAACATTGAAATAACAGCCGTGGTGTTGAAATATCGGATCAGAACATTGGTATAAGCAGTTTTTATTGTTTTACCCGAAATCGTTGTTTTTAATATATGTTTACAGACGTCAGGAAACACAACATAACAGTTCGTGATAGATTTATTAAACAGAAATATCATAAATATTACACCATACGTAACATCACTCAAATCAATAAATAATCCTGTCATTTATGTACAAACTGGTATGAGTACAAGTAAGAATGCTCGCAATGTTACAATATATCTACTTTATTCTTGTAAACCAATGTTTAATAAGGACGTCTCCATTGCTATTTTACTAAACCAAACTCAAATACATTGATAAATAAATATTGCAATATTGCATTTAGAGGACATGAAAGATCAATGTGCTGCTTTAACTACAGCCAATCACAAGTTTTCCTACAAGAAGACAGACTTAGAGACGTGTGTTCCACTAATGTCGATAGTCTCTGTATTTTACAATGAACATTAAATTACTTTTGCTTTTAAATTTCATTAAATCTCCGAATATGTGAACCAGGAAACATTTAAATCGAAACATTTTACAAAAATCAGCATATTGTGTAATGTTAACAGCTACGTTAACATAAAGAACACTGACGCATTATTTGTTTCTTCCTTTTTTCTTCTGAGATTGACGTTCTAAAATACCTCAAGGTCATTTAAGACGGTGTTACCATCACATAGTTCATATCCTAGCTGAATGTGAACACCTAGACACGGATCCATGACGCAGCAGTCAAACAGGAAACAGAATCAATCAAACGAACCAGGACATATTCTATTCAGTGACTTTATCGTTCGAATCATTGAAGTAAGTCGTATTTGTCTTCTGTCGTGAATATGGATCATCCCAAAACTCACAGAGATGGGTGTGATATTTACATTTGAATATGTACATTAATCATCACTTTTATATACAGAACATGTTACATCATGTATATATCTTTTGTGATATAAATTCATTTGCATTTCAATACTGGTTTTACACGTTTTCAATAACAATTCACGTGGAGTTATGTTAATTTATGAATTATTTGATACAACACTCGACAGAATCGAAAGTCCAGGAAGCATCATACACTTGAATACTGAGAACGGCTCTTGTTCTGTTGCGAACAGCAACCCTGTAAAAAGGAAAGCTCTTGTAAAAATGATGATTAACGGATCCAAGATTAACATGAATCATAAGCAACCTCAAACACTCCTATCAATTCAATTTTTCCGAGAAGTTTTTGCAGAAAGATTTTTCTAGTTATTAGAAACTGCCTGTATCGTTGTCTTATCATGACGTTTCAGCGTTGATACAGGTCCTGTTTTATCGTATGGTAGTTTTGTTTGTACTTTTACGTGATGTTACTGACAGGATAAGACGACAGATATAAAGTGATGTTACTGACAGGATAAGACGACAGAAACATTGTGATATTACTGACAGGATAAGACGACAGATATATTATGATGTTACTGACAGGATAAGACAACAGATATAAAGTGATGTTACTGACAGTATAAGACGACAGATATATTGTGATGTTACTGACAGGATAAGACAACAGATATATTGTGATGTTACTGACAGGATAAGACGACAGATATATTGTGATGTTACTGACCGGATAAGACGAAAGATATATATTGTGATGTTACTGACAGGATAAGACGACAGATATAAAGTGATGTTACTGACAGGATATGACGACAGATATATTGTGATGTTACTGACAGGATAAGACGACAGATATATTGTGATGTTACTGACAGGATAAGACGACAGATATAAAGTGATGTTACTGACAGGATAAGACGACAGTCAAATTATAATGTTATTGACAGGATAAGACGACAGTTATATTATGATGTTACTGACAGGATAAGACGACAAATGTATTGTGATGTTACTGACAGGATATGACGAGATATATAATGTGTTGTTACTGACAGGATATGACGACAGATATATTGTGATGTTACTGATAGTATATGACCACAGACATAAAGTGATGTTACTGACAGGATATGACGACAGATATATTGTGATGTTACTGACAGGATATGACGAGATATATAATGTGATGTTACTGACAGGATAAGACGACAAATATATTGTGATGTTATTGACAGTATAAGACGACAGATATAAAGTGATGTTACTGACAGGATAAGACGACAGATATATATTGTGATGTTACTGACAGGATAAGACGACAGATATAAAGTGATGTTACTGACAGGATAAGACGACAGATATATTATGATGTTACTAACAGGATAAGACGACAGATATATTATGATGTTACTGACAGGATAAGACGACAGATATATATTGTGATGTTACTGACAGGATAAGACGACAGATATAAAGTGATGTTACTGACAGGATAAGACGACAGATATATTATGATGTTACTAACAGGATAAGACGACAGATATATTATGATGTTACTGACAGGATAAGACGACAGATATATTGTGATGTTACTGACAGGATAAGACGACAGATATATATTGTGATGTTACTGACAGGATAAGACGACAGATATAAAGTGATGTTACTGACAGGATAAGACGACAGATATATTATGATGTTACTAACAGGATAAGACGACAGATATATTATGATGTTACTGACAGGATAAGACGACAGATATATTGTGATGTTACTGACAGGATAAGACGACAGTTATATTATGATGTTACTGACATGATAAGACGACAGATATATTATGATGTTACTGACAGAATCAGACGACAGATATATTGTGATGTTACTGACAGGATGTGACCACAGACATAATGGGATGTTACTGATAGTATATGACCACAGACATAAAGTGATGTTACTGACAGGATATGACGACAGATATATTGTGATGTTACTGACAGGATATGACGACAGATATAATGTGACGTTACTGACAGGATATGACGAGATATATAATGTGATGTTACTGACAGGATATGACGACAGATATATTGTGACGTTATTGACAGGATATGACGACAGATATATTGTGACGTTATTGACAGGATATGACGACAGATATAATGTGATGAACAGGTTATTGATGCAGACCCACCTTGACGTAAGAACAGCCGCTCATCATTAGACTCATGTGAGGAATGGCGTCCAGACCTTCCGCTTTGTTGTGGACAATATTGTAGACAGTACCTACCAGGATGTAGGTAAATAACAGCGAAAACAACCTACAAATAAAAGTCCACGTATGTTTATATTTCCACAGAAACTGGTGACTTACCCACCAAAATGGGAGAGAACCGTCGCATGACAATCAGAGCAATTTGAGTTACCAAGCACACAACATCAACAGAACTGGGAAGGAAAACTGATCTGGGTAGGGAGTACACCTAGGTATTTCATGACCGACAGTATTCACTCATAAGAACAGAGTATGGCCTGTAATATCTGGTCCTATTCTCCTGCTACTTTATCATGAATCACCGTGTTAATCTGTTGTTCCTATCTTACACACATTTTATCATTATTGCATTGGAATTTTGGTTTTGTTGACAGGACAGTATTCTCTGGTGAAAGAAACTTATGTATATTAAAAGTGAAGAGAATGAAGGATTTGATGTGAGAAGGTTACTGACACAATAAAGACCACCCATCCTGCGCTGAAGCCTCCACTGTCCTTGGGTGGCGGTATGATGGGGTATATGGCACACGCGTGGATACTTCTGAGCTCCATGTTCTACCAAAACGAACAAAATATTAAATAACACATTAGGTTGATGTAACACTTGGCTAATAATAGAAAAGTGACCAAGTCATATATATTTCAGAAAACAAACAAAAACAAACAAGCAAACGGAAAGACATCCCCCTCTCTCTCGAAAAAAAAAAAAAAAAAACGAAAACCAGGCGGATACTTGGATTTTGTTATCGCTATTAGTTGGAAAAGACCCAATTTGTTTGATTATCAGATTGTACATACAAGTTTCCCTTGAGCTCTAAATGATTCCATTTTATTTTGAGAGACTGATCAGAAAAAACAAAATGGCTGGCTGGTGGCCATCCTGGATTTGGTATGTTCAAATTTCGTATGATTAAGAGAAAAATCAGAGGATAGAAGAGAAAGAAGGGAAAAGATCCAACTTTCAAATAACTATGATGATGTTGATCCTGTTCTCATTTAGGGAACGTGACATTACTAACATCATAATGTACTTGGATTGATACAGATTTACATAGCAGGTATCGCAGAAGACACGAAACACCTCGTCTAATTCTTCTAGTATTGTATCGAT